GGCAGTCCCTTGGGGTCCTGCTCTTTCCGTGCCCCCCCCAACCCCCTAGCCCGGCGCGGGGGAGGGGCGGGCGACCTGGGGCCCGGGCCGGTGACGTGGGCGTCCGGCCGCAGAGCTGCCCCTGCCCCCCCCGCGCCCCTCCCCCGGCCCGGACTTGAAGGGGGGGGTGGCTAGGGGTGCTGGGGGTGCAGTGCGGGTCCCGAAGGGCAGGGCCGGGGCCGGGACAGCAGCAGGGCCCGTGCAGGCCCAGCCGCACCTCCACCTGCTGCCTGTCTGTTTGGCCCGGTGGGCCAGCTGCCCTGGGGGGCTGCAGCGCAACTTGGACACACCCCAGGGTCCGCGCACGAAAAATACATTACGGAAAAATACCGAATTTGGATGAAAGGCGGGGAGTCCGAGCGCGTTACTGCCCCTTTAAGCCTGTCCCCGCCCGCGGGCTCGCGTGGCCTGTGGGAGGGCCTGCTGAGGTGGCATCTGCGAAAGTTCCTCCTGCGGGATGGGTGCCGACTTCCAGAACTCGGTGAAGCCGCTCACCTGGCCCCCGTGGGGGGGCCTCGCTCACACTGGGGCTTTGTGAACTTTTAGCCCGTGGGGAATTTGTTTTTGTTCTCAAGTTTGGCTTGTGGATCTTGAGAAGTACTTTGGGGGAAAAAAATTCCTTTGAAGGTTTAGTGTGGGGATAAAAGTAACTAGTTTTAATTTTGGAAGAAGAGGAAAGAAGTCCTGGGTTTCCACTGGAGTTTTTTAATATCTCTATTCGGTCTTGTCTAGTTATGTGAAGTGGGGAGATACTCATTAGGTGGCTGAGATAAATAAAGTTCTTTCTGTACTGTTACTTCTTTGCAAAGACCTTTCTTTTTGAAAATGTAATTGGCAGAACATCCCAAGGGAATCAACAAGTACTTCTGGTGGAAAAGGAAAATTCTTCCCTTTAAAGATTTTCCTGTTGTATATTTGTTAGGACCAAGCTTCAGATGTAGTCCACAAACGTTGTGACTTTGCATTTCTCCCACATGATGGGAGTGCTTGGCAGTTCCCTGGGATGGAAAAGAAGAATCTCTGCTTCTCTCTGTCTCATGCTCTCCTTTCTTTGGGCCTAATTCTGTTGGCTGCATAGTTATATTTTGAGATGTGGACATTTACGCTCTGAAAAATAAGACTTAAAGTCTGCGATGAGAATAGTTTGCAACTTGCTTGGAGTGAGTGGATCTGAATGCTTCCTGCAGGGAAAGTAGTTGAGAGCAACCAAAATGAGGAAGGAAGGGACTGGAGCAATCTTGGGAAGAACTGGAGGAGAAAGGCCTTCACATGTCTGAAGCAGTCTTGTAGAAAAGGGTCGACTTGTTCTCTGTGGCAAAAGTGGGGCAAGAAGTTGTAGATCTTGGCACTACACGAGGCAGACTATTCTGACAGCTGTGCAGAGGTGAAGGGGGGCTCCCTTGGAAAGCTGTACAGGTCCTGTCTGCTGGTATTCAAAGATTGCAGTGGAGTGGTGCCTGAGGTCCCTTTCCAGCCTGATTGAGCAGTGTTACTAGATTAAGTGAAGAACCGTGATAGCATGTGTTTGGCCTCTATTCTTTGATAATGGGGCCTGTGTACGGTCTCCTGAGAACTTAAGATAGCAGCGATCACTGGTGGGGTCGTCCAAGGACTCGGTAGAGTGGGAGTCAACTTGTTGGGTGTTGTCTGTGAAGGCAGAGCAAGGGCTGGTGGGGAGCAGGTTTGGGTGGGCATAGAGCTGTGGGGGACAGTTTCTTAGGTGCTGCTTTGTTGAAAGAGAGGCAGGTAGCCAGTCATGCTGAGAGCATGTTAGGAGAGCTGAGATTGGCCTTCATAAAATCTTAGCCCAGAGCCTCAGGTAGAGGGAGGTCTGTATTTACATTTGGGTCATCAGGTATGTGTTTAAAGTAGATTGTTAAAAGATAGGGTTTTGAGAAGCTTATAAGAAAAAGAGCAACCTTTTTTAATGATATCAGAGCCCTAGATGTTAACTCTGCTGCTTGTTGTGATGCATTCATTTCCAGCTGCGATAAACTGCCACTGGAAATCTGGGGACTAGAGACCCAGTGTATCCTGTCAGACAAGTCTGGAGTTTCTGGAGATCCACTCTGTCCTGCTGCTGCCCAAGGGCCTGTGCACACTTCGGGGCGTTAGAGGCTCTGGGACAGGCTCTCCCTCCTACACATTAGTAGGTTCAGTGGGGTTGGTGATCCTTTCCTGAGTCCCCTGGACTAAGGGGTTTCATAGAAGAGCTGGCTGGGATTGACTTCTGAAAGGTGTGTGAGCTATCTCAGAAGAGACCTTCAGGAATTGGTCTTATCTTCGTGACAGTAGGTGCAGGGTGGGAATTGCTCCTCAAAGACCTGTGGCTGGAGGGGATGTGGACAGTGACCGCACTTTACAGGCTTATTGAGTGGCTATCACCGGGCACTGAAGATTTGCCCTGTCCAGAAAGGCAGGAGGGCTGGTCAGTGGGAGCAGAGAAGAGGGTGTGAACATAGTTGGTCGTGTGGAAAAGCTGGGTTATTAGGGGGTGGATGGTTGTGGGTTTTAGGAAGTGGCATAGCGTGACCTGGAGTGGGAGGCTGTTGAGATGCAAGGTCAGCAGGTAAAAGAGCAGGTGCAGCCCAAGTAGAAGTTCTGAACAAGGAGGGGCCTGGGTCCTGGATTCACTGTTGGCGTTTTGACCTAGAGAACACCTCCATCTTGTGCCTAGACTGGGCTAAGTGTACACAGGCCAGACACTTGGAATCCCAGGCGGTGCTTAACCTTTTACATCTTGTCAGAATCCACGTTGTGGAAGTGCTACTCTGAAACTTTGATTTCAGCTTTAATCTTTAGAACTTGTGGGTTAGAATTGTTGGAGGCAGATTCTCATAGTTGTCTTGGTCAGTTTGTCTCCACTTCTCTCCCTCCGTCTTGGTACATATGAGTGTCTGGTGGGACTCGGGCCCCAGAGAGGCCAGAGCCTCTCTGGCTTATGGCACTTACCCCTTTGTGACTCAAACCCTGCATTTAGAGATTTTTTTTTTTTTTTAAAGTCCTGAAATGCTGCTGGACAATGAGACCTTCTTAAATCCAGAGTCTACTGGTACACCCCTGATTGCCACGAACTGTCTTCCTAGCTTCTGAATTATGCGTCTTATGGGCAAGAATTTGGGGATGTTATTCTCCAGTTAGTAGGTGTTCTTATTACTGTTGTCGATTCTCCCATCTTGGACACCTACCTTACCCCTATCATAAAGTCCACCTCATTGCACTCTACTGAGTGTGTGTGGTGTTTGTGTAAAGTGGCAGGTAACCTACCTGGAAGCCTCCCTATCCCAAAGTCCCCAAGGCAAGATGACCCACACCCTCTTACTTCACAGAGTAGTTTTTGGTCCTCCTCAGACGGCCTTTGAAGGTTCCTTCCAACCCTGCTATTTTATGGCCCGGTTTCTAAATCTCCAGTGTATTAGAAGGGACCAAAGGACTTTTACAGGATAACAGCGAGAACAAAGTAACTACAAAACACACAGCGAGCTCATAAAGACAGTAGCTCTCAGTCACCCTGCAGAGCTCAGGAGCCCCCAAGGTCTGCATTCTATTCTGCATCATAGCACAGTCTCACAGAATCCTTTTCCTTGTGGCTCAGCAGTCAGAGATTAAGAGTACAGGAGAAATTACTCAACCATGCAGGAGAACCAACCATCAATTTTGTAAGCATTTTACTTCAAAATGGTTAAATTTAAAAGTTTTGACATTAAGGGATCAGTCCCTCAGGTCCAGGGAAAAGTTTCCCTCTAAAAGTTCTGGATGGTTTAGATTTTACTGTGATAGGTTTTGTTTGAGGCTAATAGCCTAGGGGCAGAGCTTCCTTTTTTTTCCCCAAGAAACTTGTCTAAATATTAGTATTAGTACGCAAAGTGTAGATAACGTTTTGCCCTCTTCTGGTTGGGAGGTAAAAGGATCTGAGTTATAGAATACAGATAAGTTAACTTCTCTCTGGTTTTCTTCTTGTTCACCCTCCCTTTCTGTCCCACACCAGCAAAAACTGGCAGGCTGACAGAGGCGGCCTCAGGACGGACTCTCTGGCTACTGACCGTTTTGCTGGTAAGTGTGACCTTTCTGAAGGTTTCTTGTCTCTGGGCTGCATGTGTACCTTCTTTCGTTATGTTTCATTCTTAAGTTTCTAGTGGCTCAGAGAGACTTACTGTGACAGCAAGAGCCATGTCCACGTGCGCTCTTCAGATGTGTTATCTGGCCTCCACCTAGTTTGAAGCCTTTTCTCTCTCAAATGTGAATTATGTTTGTTCAGGATTCTCTGAGTTTGGATCTTGCTTCTCTTGAGGAATGCAGAGCTTAATTTTCTTGAACTTGGGAAGAGGTCTTACTGAGCTGTGAAAATTATGCAAAAACTCACTCTTATTACATCATTTAGCTCTTTTAATACTTTTTTGCCATGGTGGTAGAAAAAAATACTTGGCACCTAATGGTGTGAAAAGAGTGGGTTCTTCCTCATCGCAGTAGCATGGAGCTCACCTAGAGTTGAAGGGAGGAAGCAAACACCTCTGCCTGAATGAGCCCGAGTCCCACTGAGTACCCTGGCACTCAGGAGTGGGGTCCGGAGGCAGAGACTGCTTGGTTCCTTCCCTGAACCAAGGAACTGTGTGCCCTTGGGCCAGGTTCCACCTGCTCTGAGTCCCCTCTGACCCCTGAGAGCTAGGACATAGGAGATGTCAGCACATGTCAGAGGCACTTAAACCGCCAGCTTCTTGCTGTTACATTGTTGCCAGGGAGCTCTGAGAGACTGCTCTTTGAGCCCATGGGCATGGCCAGGCTATGTGGTGCGCTGGGCCTTGCTGACCGTGCCCACGGTGCCCACCATGCTTGCAGAGGTGGGCTGATTGCTTCTTGTAGCAGCTGTCCTGTGACGTATTTTATAGGCATCAGGAGGCATGTGGATGAACAGATTAAGAACATAACAGAGATAGCTGTTAGGAGAACCTTCCAGAGGTTGATCTGCAGGCTGTCTCTGCAGCCCCAAGACATTGTGGGGCTGGAGCTCTCAGCTGGAGCCTCTGGCTCCTCACTTAGAGGATAACCTTTGAGGGGAGAGTTGTCCAAGGACCCTCCTTCACTTGTGTTTTTCCTTTAATTACTTGCTGAAAGTTTGGGTATCATCTTATATCGGAGGTTGTCACAAGTGAAGAAAATGGTGTGGTTTGCTGGTGAAACAGAATTAAACCTTTGGCTAAAACTCTAAGCCTAACAGTTTGGCTGTGCCTTGACTCTCTTCTCTCTGACTCACTCCCTCCCGCTTCAGTGGCTCACCGGATTGTGCGTAGGCGCGAGATCAACCATGAGCTCCGTTGCAGTTTTGACCCAGGAGAGCTTTGCTGAACACCGAAGTGGGCTGGTTCCGCAACAGATCAAAGGTGACTGCCCTTTTGTGCTCGTCTTCTCACTTTGAGACACCGTTCCTTCCAAATCTTTGTCAAACCTTATGGCCTTTGAGAAGTGCCTTTTGGGACTGTAGCTTTGGGGTTGAGCCTGGGCTCCCACTTCTTACCTGCTCTGTTTCTCACTGCCGGTGCAGCCCTTGTGTCCGGGGTGGAACTGGGCAGGAGTGACAGATATTTCTGGATACAAAAAGATTTGTTTTGAAGTGTGGGCCACTTTCTGGAAAGCCAATGATTTTGATCGTTGGTAATTAAAAAGATTCTTTTTCAAAATTGCTGTTCCCCAGTTGTGCTGAACTAAAATCCTTCAAAATCTGGTATATGTTTAGAAAAACAGGGTAACTTGATTTGAATGTTAAATTTTCATCTGTAATCTTTCAACTGTAAGTAGATTGTATAAAATTTTCAGGTGAAAGAGGTTAACAATCAATTGTGAGTTCTTAAGTTTAATTAAAATTAAAAATGTACTTTGTCAGTCACATTGGCTGTGTTTTAAGTGCTCGTTTCTAGGGCAGTGGAGACCCAAATACTGCAGAGTGCCTGTGGGGCTGACTCTGTTCTACCTGATGCCGCAGCCCTGTAGAGTCTGCATTTCTAGATGAGGAAAGCAGGGCTCTGACAGGCTCCAGCTGCTTGTCAGCACTGAGTCTTTATTGGCGTCCCGGGATGGCACAGCCACGCGGCTAGAAGTGGTGAACCCCGAGTTGGACACAGGCCTGTCTGATTCCAAAGGTCATCTCCCTGCTCTGTGTGCACATCCATTCACAGTGGTTTTTATTGGGCCCTGCCATTGCCAGGGCATTTGGGGTGATCCGAAAACAGTCACACTCCTGTTTTCATGGAGCTGTGGTTAACGGGACAAAAACGTGAATGATGAGGGCACTGTGGGGGATGGAAGTGATTAATGCTCTGGGGCCTGGTTTCCACAAGGCTTGTTGCTCCTGTGAAGGGGCGGCGGGGGTCAGAGATGGCAGCTCCCGCAAGGGTTATTCTCAGTACCGTGTGCTACAGTGGGAAATCGGCTGGAGTCTGCCTCACATGCAGTGCTGAGCAACAGCATTATTTTGTTCTGCAAATTTAAGGGCTGGTTATGTGCCAGGCATTGTCGTAGTTGTGATTTTTTTCAAGCACAGGATCAGAAGGGTCTGGGGCTTAAATTCTTTGTGGAAAGGCCTGTTTTCAAGGAGGAGTGGGACACCCGGTTGCTGAACTGACCGCTCACAGGGGAGGCTACCTCTCCAGGCCGCATGCCGAACCTGAGGGCGCGCTGGGCCTGGGGACCGCCTGGGGCGCTTTCCCATCACTGAATGAAGGGATGGGGGGGCAGGGTGTCACTCAAGCAATTAATGTTGTTTCTCTTCTTTCTTGACATTAAAACTCTCCAAGTGTTTTTTTGTTTAATGTTGAAAGCACTGTACTTCCTTTTAATCTATGTTGGCCGGCCCAGTTGCTACTTTAAATTCAGAAGAGGAGAGTGACCCTCCAACCTACAAAGATGCCTTTCCTCCACTCCCGGAGAAATCAGCTTGCTTGGAAAACGCCCAGGAGCCTGCTGGCGCCTGGAGTAACAAGATCCGGCCCATCAAAGCTTCTGTCATCACTCAGGTAGAAACTCCATTCTTTCTTTACCGGCTCCTCCAAGTTAGGAAGTGGTAGTACCTGATGGAACGGGTTTTGAACACACACAAATGAGCGTGGTTTGGGCTTTCACAGTATATCTGCCCCCACTCCTGGGGAAGCTGTGCTTGTGCTCACCGTATAGTCCTGGCGCGCAGAAGGAACAGGTCCCATTGGTTCTTCATCCCACTGCTACCCATTCTCTGCTCCCAGCTGCTGCACGTGGCTTTCCACATCCCCAGCCCCAACAAGAACTTGTCTGTCTTCTTTGCCTTCTCTCCCTCCGTGTCAAAGCGAGTCTTCTCCTCTTGGCGTACGCGACCCCGTTTTCTTGGCTTTCTTTGAGCTCATTACCCCGTCTCTCTGCTACCTAAACGTGGGATATTGGCAGGCAAAGCACTTCCTCTCTGTGTGAACTCGTGTGTTGGGTCATGGTTGTTTATTACTTACCAACCATGTGCTGAGAAGTCCCTTCCCTGAACCTGAGACTCCTAACTAATTGCATCCTGGATCTTTCCATCTTTCTGGTGGCTATCCGAGATGGGACTGGTGTCTCCACAGTCTTCCTGATCTTGTTACCTGCACCACGTTCTACTTAGGGGTTCAGACCCAAGACCAGGAGTCATTTTGGTTCCACCTGGTTCCACCCTTGCCTCTGCTCGCTCCTTCTCCAGAAAGCAGCTAAAGTGAAGTTGAGTCATCAGTCGGCGTGTATCCTTCTGCCTGAACTCTGCTTCGTTGCCTTCTCCTCTTGCTGCACAGTGGGCAGAGGGATGCGGCCCCTTCCTTTCTCCTGCTTGGACTGCACCCCACTGTGCTCATAGTGCCCCCCTGCCTGCCCCTTTTCATTGCCGTCACTGTTTGCTCTTGCTCACCTCTGAGCATGGTTGTTCTCAGTGTCTCCCTGTCCCCCAGCCCCTCTCCCCTCCTTGTCTGTTTTCTCCGTTGCACTCACTGCCGCCTGATGCTTCCTTGCTGTCCGTTTGTGTCAGGGAGTCGTTCTCTTCACTGGAGTGCCAGCCTGCTGCCCTTGGGGGCGCTTTCTGCCTGCCTCCCCACCCCTGTCCCTCGGGCCTTGGAGCTGGGGCAGGGAGAGGAGTGGGGATACTTAGGAAGGAAGGAACTCGGGCCCCTTACTCTGTATGTTCAGTGCCTAGACACTTACACGCCCTACCATCTCTTGATCTCTTCACCTTCCCTTTTTGACCTTTCCTGAGCAGGTGTTCCATGTACCCCTGGAAGAGAGAAAATACAAGGACATGAACCAGTTTGGAGAAGGTGAACAAGCAAAAATCTGCTTGGAGATCATGCAGAGGACCGGTGCCCATCTGGAGCTGTCTCTCGCCAAAGACCAGGGCCTCTCCATCATGGTGTCAGGGAAGCTGGACGCCGTCATGAAAGCCCGGAAGGACATTGTCGCTAGACTGCAGACTCAGGTGGGTATCACCAGCCTAGTCCTCCTGAGTGGGTGTGTGCCCCAGCCCTGTGCCACTGCTCCAACAGATACAGCTCTGGCTCCATCAGAGCCTCCCCGCCCTCCACCTCCCCCCAGGGCGGCAGGTCCAGAGTTCAGAGGTAGGGCAGCAACCTTGGGAGCCTCCTTGCATTTTTAGCTGAAAGAACACTAAATCAGTGACAGAAGGGGGGGGGACACCTACCGTTTTTGCTATTTGGGTGAAGAATGAAAGATAAAGGCTTGTCCCAGAGGTTGAGACACTCAAAGAAGCCAGGCTTGCTGGATGGTAGAGTGAGGACACCACCACAGGTCACTGGTTCCCAGGGCGGGGCTCCAGAGTCAGCACATTGCTGTTTAAATACACATGTCCAGGTCCTATCTTGGGAGAGTACAGTTCAAATGTTGTTTGCTCTAAACCAGTTCCTATAGTCCTTAGCAGTCTGATAGCACTACTTGGAATTTACTGGGGAGCTGTTGTAATAAATAAGTAAACTTGTGATGCATTTCTCCACACACAGCATCACTTAAAGATCAAGGTAAATGCAGAGAATTTTATTAAAATGTCTTATAATGGGTGCCTGGGTGGCGAGGTCAATTGAGCATCCAACTCTTTTTTTTTTTTTTTTTAAGATTTTATTTATTTATTTGAGAGAGAGGGAATGAGAGAGAGCACGAGAGGGAAGAGGGTCAGAGGGAGAAGCAGACTCCCTGCCGAGCCGGGAGCCCGATGCAGGACTCGATCCCGGGACCCCAGGATCATGACCTGAGCCGAAGGCAGTCGCTTAACCAACTGAGCCACCCAGGCGCCCTGAGCATCCGACTCTTGATTTTAGCTCAGGACATGATCTCAGGGTCATAAGATCAACCTCCATGTTGGGTTCTGTGGTTGGCACAGAGTCTGCTTGGGATTCTCTCTCCCTCTCCCTCTGCCCCTCCCCTGGCACATGCACGCGTGTTCTCTCTCTCTCTCACATAACTTTTTTTAAAGTTAAAAAAATGTCTCATAACAGATACAGCTTTAGACCCAACTCTTATCTTTACTTAGAAATGGGGGTCCAGGGGTGCCTGTCTGGCTCAGTCAATAGAGTACAACTCTTGATCTTGGAGTTGTAAGTTCGAGCCCTACGTTGGGTAGCGATTACTTAAAAATATCTTTTTTTAAAAAAATAAAGAAATAGGGGTCCTCCCCACCTGACACTGATCATCTGTGAGCTCACTGGGGAGCTAGCTCCAGAATGTGGTGGCTAGAAGATGGGGCACTGTGGGGCAGGAGCCAGGGGCTCAGCAGGGAGGAGAGGATTTGCCCCTGGGCTGTCCAAGCTCTCTCTCACTCGGCCATACGGGGCCTAGGGACAGTCCCTAAACCCCCCACCCCAGCTAGCTTCGGGGAATGAAATCATTAAGTGTAGGCACTTGAAAATGTGTGTCAATTGCTTCGTGTTGTGGCTGGTGCATAGTAAGCTCTCAGGCTTTTGCTTTTACTAGTTGGTGAATATTTGAGTATTTTGTGATTAAGAACTGGGCAGGGAGGGAGACCTGAACCACTCCACTCCACTCCTCTCCCCACCCCCCACCCTCACCACCATTACTTTAAAGGAAATCGCAAATATGTTATTCACTGGCAAATAATTCAGTGTGCCCCCCCCCTTTTTAAGATTTTTATTTATTTGAGAGAGAGATCACAGAGGGAGAGGGAGAAGCAGACTCACCGCTGAGCAGGGAGTCCAGTTGTGGGGCTCCATCCCAGGATCCTGGGATCGTGACTTGAGCCAAAGGCAGACGCTTAACCAACTGAGCCACCCAGGTGCCCCCCCCCTTTTTTTTTTTAGTATAATTTACTAGGCTGTTAACTCATTAAAATTAATAGTAATTTCTGGATATATCCATACTCAAACCCGTCTATTTATGGACTCCTGTTATCTCTAGATGTCTTTCTGAGTCTCCTTGTTTAAATCAGCATCCAAACAAGGCCTGCCTGCTGTGCGTTTTGGGCTCACGCCCTCTTTCATTCCTTGGCAGTGCCCTCCCCTCCTTTTCTTAATGCCTTTGTTTTTTTGGGACAAGCAGGTGTTTCTTTGTCTCACTGTCCATCACTGTTTTCTATAAACTGGTGGTTACATCCTGGGGCTTGGTTACTTTCACGTTCAGCTTACTTGTCTGGCAAGAAAACATGTGTCGTTGCTGTTGATTCCCAGATGGATCACTAGACTCGGGAGTCTTCAGCACATCATCCATTAATAAAGTTCCTGCTGATGATGGTGTGGATGGCTGCTTTCTATCCCCCCCGCCCCACAGTAGTTGTGTTCTTGGGAAGAACTTTACTCTGCTGGTTGCTCAGTGTGGAGACTGCGTTGACGCTGTGGCATCTCCAGTGGGGATCCATGAATCTCTCCGTGTCATTATGAACTTCTGATGTGTTGATGAGTTTTTAGGGTGAAATTGCATCATCTTTGGACAGTGGGACCCCTTTCAGGTTGGCACCATGCAGCTTTCTGGGGTGACCATTCACGTCCACCATTTCCTGATCTCTAACATGGAGAGTTGCGGGCTGACCTAACGTCAGCTCTTAATCCAGGAACTCTTCACCTTTTTAGTAGGACATTGCATGAGTTCAAACTGATCATTCTAATGAAGAGAAGACAAAAGGTGATGGAGTTTTAAAATCACTAGAAGGAATGTATGCTCTCATCTTGAGATATAGTTAGGTTGGTACAAAGTCAGAGCTTTGTAATAAGGTTCAGTCTGCACCCTGTCCCTCCCTCCCCTGCCAGCTGGCCATTCATGGTCTTTGATGGACCCTTCCATTGTTCGGGTTTGAGAGTAGAAGCAGAAGATCACTTGCCATAAGAACCCTGTTTCGCACCTTGTTTTTTCCTGCATGGTTTCTGAAGGTGTCTGCGTATCAGCAGATAGTGGGCTCTGCTCCTTTCTTTGTACAGCTGTGAGATGCTCTTTGGGTGCGCTGTAATTTAGTCTAGCATTCCTGGTGATGGGCATTTGAGTGCCTTCCTGACTTTTCTGTTACAAATCGTGTCGCAATAAAAACCTTGTGTATATGGGATTTCCTGTTTCACCCGGTGTGTCTCAAGATCCATTTCCTAGCAGTGAGATAGCTGGGTCAGAGGGCAGCACATAGGTAATTTTGCAGTAGCTGTAAGCCCCGTCTCTCAGGTGCTGGGCATTATCTGCATTCCCACGGGCCTCCACCACAGCCTGGCCACGCCCATCAAAGGCTTGGGCTTTTGTCAGTCTGGAAAGTAGCTGAGTGTACTTTTAATTGGGATTTTTCAGATGAACGAGATTGAGTGTCTTTTTAATATCTAAGGGCCGTTTGCATTTTGTTCTGTGCACTGTCTTTTCTTTGGCCTTTTCTATCAAGTTAGAGTTGTCCGTCTTGCTCAGTGTAGCAGGGTCCTTAAAAACCCTCTACCTTACAGACCATGTTTCCCACTTTGTGATTTGTTTTTTGATCTTAGTGTGTTTTGCTATGTGACTTTTTATTTTAGTGCAGTCAAATTTCATTATTCTTTTTGTTCTTTTGAGTCCTTCTTAGGAAAATTTGCTTCACTTCTGGGTTGTAAGAAACCTAATCTTTTCTCTGGTGCCGGGAAGGGGGGCTCTTCTGTTTCAGTTCCTGATGAGTTCGGGATTTCTCGTGAACAGTGCGAGGTGCAGACCCACTTTCGTCCTTCTCCAGATGTTTGTTAGGTTGCCAACACCAGCTTTAAGAGTTTTCCCCCAGTGATTTGATTGGGTGTTTTTATGAAGTCCTAAATTTTCATGTTAACTCGGTTCTTTGCGTGGGCTTTCAGATTCAGCATGTTGAGCTCCCTCTCTGTGTACTAGTGTTCTGTTCTCATGGTAGTGGTGTTATATTTATATCTAGTACGGTTGTCACCACCCCTCCTGTACTGTCCTTTTTCAGGATTTTCCTGCCCCATTCTTTTTCGTTCTGTGCAAACTCTATAACCTACTTTTTGCTCAGAATGGCATTAGGTCTTTTAGGGAGTGTTTTGTGGTTTCTAATGCACATACCCCACCTCTCTTGTTGGATTGTGTCTAGCTACTTTGTCTCTCTCTTTTTTTTTTTTCCTGTTGGAATGGCCATTCTTTCCCATTACATCTTCTAATCTGTTGCTGTTAAAGCTGTTCATGCTGGATTCTAATTTTCTTCTCCCTGTTACAGATGTCAAAAAGTGTTAAAAAGTTGTGGGTCCCCGGGGTTCCCGGGGCCGCAGGCCTGTGCTCCTCCTTGTCCCATCATCATCCCATCTTTGTGCCTCCTTCGCTTCCTTGGGTCTCCTCCGTGGGGCCGTGCTCCCGTGGGGGTCCAGCCTCAGCGGGTGCTCCCCTGAAGCCCAGCTCCAAGTACAGGCTGAGCGGGCTGTGTAGGTTTTGTCATGTTAAAAAAAAAATAATAATTTTTATTTTCTTTTACATTTTTAATCATGAATAGATTAAAATTTTGTGGAGGCGATCACTTGATTTTTTTCTCGTGTGTAACATTGATTTCCTAATATTGAACCACTTTCAGAGTAAACATTATTCGAACAGGATTGAGTTATGGTCTGTCTTTCTGCGCTAGTTTATTGCCTCTGTGACACAATTTAACATTTTTGGTTGGAATGTTAAGTGGCCTGCCATAAGCTTGTACCCCTGGCTAGCCTGTGAGTCTCTGCTGCACCGGCGTTGGGATCGCTGACACTTGGCTTTTTTAAGCCTTCTCAGCGTTCCTTTTTGTACAGAGTCTGGAAGACTAGGAGCCTCTGTCGTCCTCCTTGCTCTCTGTGACTTCAGGAAGTTGCTTGATTTCTAGCAATTGGACTCACTGGATGTGAAGGCTTTGGATTATTTGTATTTTATTTCCTCAAGACAAGTTGTCTATTTTAAACTGGTTATAAAAGAGATAGAATAGTTTATTACCGGACATAGGGTTCATGTCTGGGGAAAAAGAAAAATAGCCTGGACCTCTGGTTAGTCAATATGTATGTGCTTTCCTATCATGTCCTAGGATGGTGTTAGCGGTCATCAAAGTGGAAAACAAGACAGATAGCATTCTTGAATATTCCTTTTCTTGTGGTGGCTTACTGGGCTGAGAAGATGTTGAACAAATAATTACTTCTAAATGATTATGACAGCTGAAGGTGTGACATGGGGCCTTGGGAATGTATTGCTTTTGAACTTTTCCCAGCCTTGGGGTTAGGGTAAGCTTCCCCAAGAACGTGATGTTTAACTTGAGACTGTTCTGAGGGATGGGTTGGGGGGCTGACTAGGCAAGAATGGCATTTCAGCCAGAGAGAATATCATGGAGAAATAGGCTTTTTCATAACCTTAAAAACATTGTTTCCTTTGGTTCTCTTCCTGTTGTAGGCCTCAGCGACTGTAGCCATTCCTAAAGAACACCACCGCTTTGTTATTGGCAAAAATGGAGAGAAACTGCAAGACTTGGAGCTCAAAACTGCAACCAAAATCCAGATCCCACGCCCAGATGACACCAGCAATCAGATCAGGATCACCGGTACCAAAGAAGGCATTGAGAAAGCTCGCCATGAAGTTCTGCTGATCTCTGCTGAGCAGGTGGGGTCAACTGAGGGCCTGGGGTGTGTGTTCTGGCCTCAGCCCCAGAGCTGTGCCCTCACGGTGTGTCCTTTCCTTTCCAGGACAAACGTGCTGTCGAGAGGCTGGAAGTGGAGAAGGCGTTCCACCCCTTCATCGCCGGGCCATATAACCGACTTGTTGGTGAGATCATGCAGGAGACAGGGACACGCATCAACATCCCCCCACCCAGTGTCAACCGGACAGAAATCGTCTTCACAGGAGAGAAGGAGCAGTTGGCTCAGGCTGTGGCTCGCATCAAGAAGATTTACGAGGAAAAGGTAGTGCTTGGGAAGAGCACGTAGGGACTGTCATGTGGAGGTGTGGCTGAGGCCTAGCCCTACCCCTTTCCTCTTGTGCCCAACCGAGTTCAGTTTCCAGTCAGTTAGGAGGTGGGACTGTTTGGCAGGGAAAGAGTGGACAGAGCTCTGAGTTCTGGGCTGCAGCAGGGCTGCATGCAGCACTGGAGCTGGTCGTGTCTCTGAGATAGCGGTTAGCTGTTAGTTCACCCTGGTGGACTGTGAGGTCTGAACCTCGTTCTTTGAGGTGTGGAGGGAACTTGGGGTCTTCACCTCTTTGAAGTTGCTGTCTTCACTCTGGGTGGGACTTAAATTCTCAAGTGATTCTTAGGAGGAGAAAACCCAGTTCTCCTTGCTCAGTGGAGTTTTGGGGGTGGGCTGTTCCCTGTCTTCACTTGCTAGGGCTCACAGAGTGTAGTCTAGGGCTCTGATCTTGCTCCCTCCCTTTTTGGTGACAGCGTTTTGTCCCCACCTGTTCCTCCCGGGCCCTTCCCTCTGATGCCCTTACGGTGCTCTTCCTTAGAAAAAGAAGACCACAACCATCGCCGTGGAGGTGAAGAAATCCCAGCACAAATATGTCATCGGGCCGAAGGGCAATTCCTTACAGGAGATCCTGGAAAGAACAGGAGTTTCTGTGGAGATCCCACCGTCAGACAGCATCTCGGAGACTGTGATACTTCGAGGCGAGCCTGAAAAGCTAGGGCAGGCACTGACTGAAGTCTATGCCAAGGTAACTGCCTTCAGGAGTAGATCCCAGCTGCTGCTTTTGTAGGGCCGGCCTCCCAAATTGTGTTTCCGGGGCCCCGGGAGCAGGGACTGTGTCGGGCGGGGAGCAGGAGCATGGAGCCAGGACTGCACAGCCCACCACTCTGCTTCCTGGTTTCTTAGGCCAACAGTTTTACTGTGTCGTCCGTCTCTGCTCCTTCCTGGCTTCACCGGTTCATCATTGGCAAGAAAGGGCAGAATCTGGCCAAAATCACTCAGCAGATGCCCAAGGTGAGGAGGTGTTGGGAATTTGTTACTCCGGGTTCTTCTTGATTTTGTCCTCCCATTTCTGACATTTGTTTTCTTGCTGTTTATTCTGGGGATGGCCCTGAAGATCGTGGCACACTTTGTGTATGACAGTTTCAGCCGTTAGCTGAGGAAGAGCAAAATAAATTTTTAAAAATCTCTCTGTCATTCTTTTGATCTTTTTAATCAGAGACTGTGTGTATTGCTGGGTTTCATGACCACCTTAGCAGACGTCTCCCTTGTCTGTCACGGCGCAGTAACTTCCCCACAGTTCTGTGTGTGCTCTCAGAAGAGCAGACGTGTGCACAGCGCGTGCGAAGTGTGGAGTGACGGCCTCTCTGTGCTTTCCGTCTCTGTCCTTGACATCTTCCCACTTTTCCAGAGACCACCGTGGCTCCCAATGAGCGCCCACAGGATGGCCTGCCAGAGATCCCATCCACTGTACTGTCCTCCTTTTCACACTTGGTTTCCAGTGACTTCTTAGTCCTTTTGCTTTCCTAGCCTCTGAGCCCGGGTTCACGCAGATGCAGTGGCTTCGTGGGGCTGCTTTCACTTGCTGCCCTTGTCCCATGTGGCCTTCTTGCCTGGTGGGCTGTAAATGAGGGCAGCGCTGGCCTTGCCTGTGGACCACCTTTGGGCAGCTGTACATGAGTTAAAATTCCATCCCTGATATTTGTCTCGTTCCTTACTCGAGCAAAAAAGAGTGGGCCTGGGGGCGCCTGGGTGGCTCCGGCAGTTGAGCGTCCGACTTTTGATTTCAGCTCAGGTCATGATCTCAGGGTCATGGGATCGAGCCCCTCATTGGGCTCCATGCTGAGCTGTTTTAAGATTCTCTCTCTTTCTCTCCCTCTGCGTCCCCCCCCCACACACAGTTGTGCACATGCAGATGCACGCGGTCTCTCTCTCTCAAAAATTAAAGAAAAGAGAAGAAGAGCTGGCCCGTAACAGTGAAAGTGATACGGGGGATGGGGGGACTGGTGCTGATGTGCTTTCAGCCCATGGTTTTGCTGTTAAAGGCACATCATGGAGGACATCACAGTTCCCATATCTGGTGAAGGGAGGAGGATTAGACCAGAGTAATGGGTGTCCCCCAGCTGTCCCGTTCAGTGTTCCGGGGGGGTCTGTGGACATGCCTTTATATAAAGCGGTTGGGATTGGCCGCTGCCTCAGCAAAGCACCCATGGGTTCTGAGGGCACTGCTGCTGTGCTGTCTCGAGGTCGGTCTCTTTCCTGATTCTGCTGTGGTAGGTGCACATCGAGTTCACAGAGGGTGAGGACAAGATCACCCTGGAAGGCCCCACAGAGGATGTAAACGTGGCCCAGGAACAGATTGAAGCCATGGTCAAAGACTTGGTAAGGTGGCCCTTTGCACGTTCTCAGTGCTGCTGACGCCGGGGCATAGCCAGGATGTCGTTGCTTGCCTGTCACACATCACGTGGGTGGGTGGGCCTGGGGACTCCAGGGTGAGTGGTGGGCTCTGAGACAGAAGCTGGAAAGTCCAGGAGGGTCACAGATAGAAGGGCCTTTCAGGGGGGCCCAAGGGCAATCTTGGAACAGTGGCTGATGGTAGAGTTCCAGAAAAAGGCAACGGCTGCAAGCTTGTGGACCAGGGTTGTGGTTGCGTGTCTGGGACTGTGGCACATGCTATGGCCTCGATAGTTTGTCTCTGGACCCATTCTGTTCTCCTCCTGCAGATTAACCGGATGGACTACGTGGAGATCAATGTGGACCACAAGTTCCACAGACACCTCATCGGGAAGAGCGGGGCCAACAGTGAGTGGGGCTGACAGCGCCGAGGGTGACCGTGGTGGGAGAAAGTCAGTTTCGGACTGGGTGTCCTTGTCTTCTCCTTGGGCTGTGGTTGCTCTGGAGACCTGGGACCTTGACCAGCCTGGTCAGAGGCCACGGTGAAGGTGCACCTGAGCCCAGTGGGCAACATCCCTGGTTTGCAGTCTTCATGGAGTCACTACTGCACAGTCCCCTGGTGGGGCTCCCTGAGGAGTAGGAAAGATCAGGCCTCACGTGCATGTCTTTTGGTGTGGGGAGGGGTCATCTGGGCACATAGTAACACTGCTGCCCACGTAAGCTCTGTCAGACAAGGAGGGTGGGTGCGGTTTGCAGGAAGTGTGCTGAGTGAGTGCTCTGCCCAGATGGAGAGCGTTTTCTAAAACCCCACCCCTGGGTCCAGCTCACCTGTGAGGCCACCCCACACATCACAGTGTGCTCCCCTGTCCCTGTGTCTGAGCTGCAGTGGAAGGCGAGGGCAGCGCATGGCCCGGCCGGGGTCCTTCCCGAGGTTGCAGGGAACCCACCTATATAGACAGGGTGCCCTGCGAGTGTGTCCTCTTCAGTTTTTGCCCGATGTAGTCCAGTTTTTGTTTGTAGTGAGTGTAAGCTCGTCAGCTCTGCTGTATTTGGTGTCAGTCTTGTGTTCCCAGGGACTTCACACAATGGTAGTGAGAGTCCACGGACACAGAGTCCACGGGAGCTTTTAGCGGTGTCTCCTCGCACGCACTGCTCAAACCATGCACACTCTGTAACTTGCTTTTGTTGTTTTGTTTTGTTTTGATTAATAGTACAGTGTCTTTTGTTTAAAGAACATAAGGAAGTGTGGTTCTGACATTCATTTCCGGTGTCTGTTCCGTTAGGAGTATGAGGCCACCAGGGTGGTTCACGTTATGTCTGTCCTGTTTTTGGTTTCATTCCTTCCCCCGCTTTTTTTTCCTGATCTGAAGTCTCCTGCCCAGCTTCTGAGTCCTTGGCTCTGGTTGTGTCTGCATGTGCTCACGACACTCCTCGGTGACCCCTACGGAGCTTGGGGCAAGTGCTGGTCTTGTTTCGTGGGACAAGGCCTCTCCAGGGTGTGGGGGCATGGGTCTCTAACTGCAGACACTGGGCTCTGTCCAAAGAAGGTGACAGAACTCCATATGTTTTGCAAAGACAGTGAAAGCAATCGATTTGGGTCTGAGCTGATGGTGGACTTTCTCTAAGCCGCATTGTGGCCTCCATGGAGCCCTAAGGTGGTCATTGGGCTGCCCTTGTTTTTAGTTAATGTAAAGCCTTCTGATTTTTAGTGGTTTCTATTTTTGGTTTTTTGAGAGTAATTTTGTGACCTGACAACAGTGGTTCAGTTCCCAAACTTGTTTCCACATTAGAAACCCCAGGGATCTTTATCAGTGGAACAGAATAGAGACCCCAGAGATGAATCAACCATATGGCCAACTAATCTTCGACAAAGCAGGAAAGAATATCCAGCGGGACTCAAAATGGATGAAAGATCTAAATGTGAGACAGGAATCCCTCAAAATCCTAGAGGAGAACACAGGCATCAACCTGTGACCTCAGCCGTAGCAACTTCTTGCTAGACACATCTCTAAAGGCAAGGGAAGCAAGGGCAAAAATGAACTGTTGGGACTTTATCAAGATAAAAAGCTTCTGCACAGCAAAGAAAGAGTCGACAAAACCAAAAGACAACTGACAGAATGGGAGAAGATAATTTGCAAATGACCTATCAGATAAAGGGCTAGTATCCAAAATCTATAAAGAACTTGTCAAACCCAGCACCCAAAGAACAAATAATCCAGTCAAGAAATATGAACAGACGTTTCTCCAAAGAAGACATCCAGATGGCCGGGGCACCTGGGTGGCTCAGTCGGTTAAGCGTCTGCCTTTGGCTCTGGTTATGATCCCAGGGTCCTGAGATCGAGCCCACATCGGGCTCCCTGCTTAGTGGGGAGTCTGCCTCTCCCTTACTCTCCGCCTTGGCCCCCACTTGGGCTCACGCTCTACCTCTCTCCCTCAAATAAATAAGATCTTAAAAAAAAGAGATCTACAAATGTCCAGCAGACACGTGAAAAAATGCTCAGCATCATGTGGTATCAGGGAAATACAAATCAAAACCACAGTGAGTTACCACCTCATACCAGTCAGAACAAGTGTTGACGAGGTTGTCAAGAAAGGGGAACCTTCTTATACTGTTGGTGGGAATGCAAGCTGGTATAGCCACTCTGGAAAACGGTATGGAGGTTCCTCAGAAAGTTGAAAATAGAGCTACCCTATGACCCAGCAATTGCACTACTGGGTATTTATCCCAAAGTTACCAATGTAGTGAAAAGAAGGGGCACATGCACCCCAATGTTTATAGCAGCAGTGTCCGCAATAGTCAAACTGGGGAAGGAGCCCAGATGTCCATTGACAGATGAATGGATAAAGAAGATGGGCTTATCTATATACAATGGAATGCTACTCAGCTGTCAAAAAAATGAAATCTTGCCATTAGCAGCAATGTGGATGGAACTAGAGGGTGTTATGCTAAGTGAAATAAATCAGAGAGAGACAGTTATATGATTTTACTCATATGTGGAATTTAAGAAACAAGACAGGATCTTAGGGGAAGGGAGGGAAAATGAAATGACAAAATCAGAGGAGACAAATCATAAGAGACTCTTAATCTCAGGAAACAAACTGAAGGTTGCTGGAGGGGAGGGGGTGGGGGAAGGGGTAGTAACTGGGTGATGGGCATGAAGGAGGGCACGGGATGGAATGAGCACTGGGTATTAAATAAGACAATCACTGAACTCTATCTCTGAAATTAATAATACGCTATATGTTAATTGAATTTAAATTTTAAAAAGCTTTCAAATACTTCAAGACACTTTTGGTGAAAATAGTAGTTATCAATTATCACAGAATAATTGTGTCAACTTCATATTTTAGTAAACTATCGTTCTCCAAATGGTCAATCAATATATGAGTCAGAACCAAAGTAAAAAAAAAAAAAAGAAAGAAACAGCTGTGATCTTTCAAGTATTCTAAAGCCCCAGCCATACCCCAGACCAGCTGAGCCTCATCCACTGTGAGGCCCCAGCTGTCAGTCTCGGGATGCTGTCAGGACGATGCTGGAGTGCCTGATCCAGGTGGAGACCATAATCAGCTCATTTGAGAGAACGGAGAATCTTGCTTTGGCGGCCTAATCACCCTCTTTGCTTGTGGGGTGACTGATGAGGTTATTTGGGGCTTTGGCCCTGTTCTGCCAGGCTGTAGTCATTGGTGGAACTTAGTAGATTTGAGTCCAAAATGTGTTTCCTTTTGTATTTTTAAGTAAACAGAATCAAAGACCAGTACAAGGTGTCCGTACGCATCCCTCCTGACAGTGAGAAGAGCAACCTGATTCGCATTGAGGGGGACCCACAGGGTGTGCAGCAGGCCAAGCGGGAGCTGTTGGAGCTCGCCTCTCGGATGGTAAGACCTGTGGGCAGGTCCTGTGTCTGGGGAGCAGCGTATTTTCTCCCCGCAGTTCTGCAGTGGCTCTGACTTGCTGGGGCCCAGGCCCTGTATGAGGGAGGCCCTGGGGCTCTGCAGCTGGGTCTTCAGCCTTGGCCAAACCCGTGTCTGTGATGCTTGAGGGACCAGTTCTTAAAAGCACCCAGGTGATTCCCACATGGAGCTCAGGTTGAAAATTCCTGCTGTGTGGTTGTCTGCAACTCTGGGGGTTGGAGGGTGGGGGCATGGGCCCTGTTCCCTGGGCTAAGGTCCTGGCACTGGTGTGTTTTTCTGGGTTGTGTGTGTCAGACGCAGATAACCATGCAGCAGTGATTCTCCATTTTGGCTGCATGTAGGGGTCACTGGGGTGCCTTTCAGAATCCAGAGGAGTTACCTACTGTGTGAGTGATCGTACCTTAGCACAGACACGTGCAGAACATCAGGAAAGCCTCAGGCAGGGCAGTGCATGTGCCTCACTGGGGAAGGGAGCAAGCCCCCCATGTCTGCTGGCACTGGTTCCCAAGCCTGGAGCCTCACCTCAGAGGCCCGCTTTTGACAGTAGAGAATCCCTTGTCATTTCCTTGTCCTCAGCTGCAAGCCAGCGCATGCGGCCTCCCGGTGTTCCCTGGCCATCCCTTAGCTCCCGTCTGGCCAGGGCCCCTTGTTCTGGGGTGTCTTGTGCCTGTGTTGGACTCCTAAACCCTTGTTTCGTTTTAAACCCGGTGCCAGTCTGATCCAGAATCGCCCCTGAGTTCTTTCAGATGCCTGACTGGTAGTATGTTTTCCTTTATTCCGGCTCTGCTGCTGCTTTTGTATTTCTTGTGACATTTTAGTGAAACCTGGAGGAGGGTGAGAACCATGCAAGTTCATTATTCATTCTTAATGATACACACGGGGCAGTGGTCTGAACCATGCTGTGGTCAGGAAGGATCGCTGCCTGTCCTGCAGAGTGTTAGGCCTCCTGCTCTCTTGTTCTGGTCAGCACAGAAGCGCTGAGTGAACTGCTTTGGTGACTAAGGCTGCTTGCAGTACCACTTGCAGTTGAAGGGTCCCTGCTCAGTTGTTGAATTGTACTTCCTTCCGGAGAACAACACCCAGCCTGTGTTGTTGGAGAGAGCAGGTGTCCTCTAGTGGGTGCTCTCTCCTGGCCGGGGACTCCCAAGGATGCCACAGGGCACTGCTGTGCTCTCCCTGGGCTCCCGGAGCCTCCTGCTGTAATGTCATCTACTTGAATCGTGCTTTTAGGAAAACGAGCGCACCAAGGATCTGATTATTGAGCAGAGATTCCATCGCACAATCATTGGGCAGAAGGGTGAACGGATCCGTGAAATTCGTGACAAATTCCCAGAGGTAAAGGTTTCCCAGCGGCATTCTTCAGCCCCCCTTGGAGTGATTGGCACTTAGAGATACTCAGTATTTTAAAATCCAGTCCTTAGCGGTAACTGAACTTGAATTTGTGATGATTTGTTCCAGGTTATCATCAACTTTCCAGACCCAGCACAAAAAAGTGATATTGTTCAACTCAGAGGGCCCAAGAATGAGGTGGAAAAATGCACAAAATACATGCAGAAGATGGTGGCAGATCTGGTAGGGGCATGTTTCCCATCCTTGGTTGTGATAGTGCTGCTGGTGGCAGAGAGACCTGGGGGTGGGTGGCGCATATCCCATCAGAACCCCTGCTGCAGGGGGCACACTCAGGCCCTGGCTTGGTCTGCCGTCGACGGAGGGGCGCCGACAACTCTTAGGACTTCAGTGTTCCGTGGAATTCAGGTGGGGTGCCAGGCTCCTTGTTCCCTTGAGGGATCTTCAGATATCTGGATAAGCTGTCCCATCCAGTGAGGAGAGAGATTTGCACAGGCAGTATGGGGAGCCATTTATTGATTGTCTATTTTCTTAAGAAGCTGGAATGGGAGCCGGCAGTTTTAAAAGTGCTGAGGGTGGTTATTGATGGGAAGGCTGCAGATGGGCTCGTGCTTTCTGTAGTTTCTCATGGGGCTTGGACCGAGCTCACCACTGCCTCAGATTGCTCGTGGGTGCGTTCCCAGCGCTGAGCTCGTTCACACTGCCGCGGCGTGGTGGGGTTTGTGTGTTCTGGGCTTACTTCCCTCAGCCTGGTGGCCAGGGACTCCCTCCTACCCAGAGTTGCTTCTGTATTATGGACCTTGCACTGAACAGGTGGCAGGTTCTATGGGGAGCCACTTTTTATCAAGGTGGCTTTGCATCAGTTGACAGTGGCATGCCAGGTTAGCTTATTGTTGGGTAAGTTATCCCTCCATCTAAAGGTCAGAGGTCCTAGTGGGAGATGAGCAGCATCCAATTGTGTGTTTCTAATAGCGAATCCTGTCATTTCATACTCCCTCAGGGATGAAGGGACACGTCACTGTCCAGCATGATGGCTAATGGTGCCACCTCTTTTGTTTTCAAGGTGGAAAATAGCTATTCAATTTCTGTTCCGATCTTCAAACAATTTCACAAGAACATCATTGGGAAAGGAGGCGCAAACATTAAAAAGGTGACCGGCCAGCTTGTCCCCTGAATCTTGGCTCCCCTCGGCCTGCTCCCAAAGCCCGGTTCCATTCTGGCTTAGAGTTGAAGGAGGGAGCCTTACTTTCCAGCCCTGGGCTCCAAGTGTCTCAACTGGGAAGTCAATTCTTATGGTCCCCTGTCTTCTGGTAGATTCGGGAAGAAAGCAACACTAAGATCGACCTTCCAGCAGAGAATAGCAATTCAGAGACCATTATCATCACAGGCAAGCGAGCCAACTGTGAGGCCGCCCGGAGCCGCATCCTGTCCATCCAGAAAGACCTGGTAATGGGGTGTTGTGTGACAGGGCGTGTGCCGGGCTCCCCATCATCCGGTCTCATCAGCTCTCCCCGTAGCAGGGCGGGCCCGTGGCCAGCCTCCCGCCACACGCCTGGGGCCGTGCTTACCACTAGACCTGAGCAGTAGCACTGGATTTGAGTGCTTGGAAATCATCCTGTCCCGAAGGCATAACAATCAATTTTTGAAAAATAACATGTAAGAAACTTCATGTTTAAAGTATTCAGTTTGATAAGTTTTGACCTATGTTATACACGCATGGAACCTCTGTACTCAGGGTAATGAGCATATCCAGCACCCCGGAGATGTCCGTGTGCCCCCTTTCAGCACCTCCCTCTGTCCCACCAACCCCACCCCCCACTCTGCCTGTCCAGCCCTTCATCTGCTTTCAGCCACAGGGGATTGTCGAGTTTCCTTTGTCCTCGTACAAAAGAAATCATGGTGTTTGCTCTCGCAGCTCGAGCTCTTCTCATGTGGAGCGGCTACGTTGAGATGCATCTGTGTTGTCCTGTGTGTCGTTCGGTTTTGTTTCTTTCCTGGGTGATAGGTCCCTGCATGCACAAATCGTGTTCCTTTTCGCCTAAGATTTGTAGCTTTTCTTTCAAGGGGTTTTTATTTTAACTAGGTTGTCAAGGTTTTTAGCATAAAGTTTTTCGTAATATTGCCATACTGTGCTTTCACTGTGCTGGTGTCTCGTGTTCCTGATACGTGTAATTTGTGTCATTATAGAATTACCATCTTTTATCCTTGGTAGTAGTCTTTGCTCTGAAATCTATTTTTTCTCATTAAAGTGGGTTTCTTTCTTTTTTTTAAAGATTTTATTTATTTGACAGAGAGAGAGACAGCGAGAGAGGGAACACAAGCAGGGGGAGTGGGAGAGGGAGAAGCAGGCTTCCCGCCGAGCAGGGAGCCCGATGCGGGGCTCGATCCCAGGACCCTGGGATCATGACCTGAGCCGAAGGCAGTCGCTTAACCGACTGAGCCACCCAGGCGCCCTAAAGTGGGTTTCTTTTAGACAGCTTTTTTTATTCAATCTTAAAAATTTTATTTATTTATTAGAGAGTGCGTGGGGGGAGGAGCACCGGGAGAAGGACAAGCAGACCCCACACCCAGCGCAGAGCCCTACACGGGGCTCAAGCTCCCAACCCTGAGATCACGACCTGAGCCGAAATCAAGAGTCAGACCGTAACCAACTGAGCCACCCAGATGCCCCAATATCTGCCTTTTAAATGGAGATTTTTACATTTAATTACATTAGTAAATCTGTGTATCATGTACTATGTTACATATTTTATTACATCTGTTTAGTAAGTGTGATTAAATATAAACTTTAATTTTTAGAACTGTGGAAAGTACACGTAACAAAATTTACCACCTTCGTGTGCGGCCCCGGGCATCAGCTGTGTGGCTGTCCCCATCGTTGTCTTCAGCACTTTCCCATCTCCCCAAATAGAAGCTGTACCTGCAAACCCCTCTTCAGCCCCTCCCCAGCCCCTGGTCATGGTGGTTTTACGGAGGTGTCCTGCATTTGTTTTCTGTTTGCCCTATCTATTTTGTTCCCTTTTTCTGCCTGCTTTTGGATTTAACATAATTTTCTTACTCCTCTCATCTCCTTTTTGGTTTATTGGATATAACTTTTATTATTGTGGTTGTTTTAGGGTTTTTAGTGTACATCCTCCACTTAGGCCCTGTCTCTAAGTGACTTTGTGCTGGTTGCAGTGCAGCTTGAGAAGCTGCAAACCCCCGTTTGTCACCCGAGTCTCCGTGTCCACGTCCCCAGCCCCACAACACGGCACTGTTTCACACTGGCTTCTTGCACTCGGTGTTAGTAAGTCGGGTCAATACAGTCAGAGTGTGTTTAGTTCTGTAAGGAAGTGCCAGACCATCTTCCAGCGAGGCTGAGCCTTTCTGTGTTCCCAGAAGCAGACCTCAGGCCGGAGGTTTTCTTTCAGGACTTAGGACTTTGCTTCAGGGCCTTCCCAGTGTTTCTGAGGACACATCTGAGATCCTCCTTGGCTTTCCTCCTCTGCACAGACTTCCTCTGGCTGTATTTAGGATTGTCACAAGGTTGGGACGCCTTATGAAAGTTACCATGTGTTTGGGCGTCCTTTTCTTCATGTTGGTTAGAGTTCATTGAGCTTCTTGGATGCAAAGACTTTAGCGTTGTCAGATTTGGAAAACCTGGGGTCCTTATTGATTGATTGATTTTTTAGAAAGCGTGTGCGTGAGCAAAGGGACAGGGAGAGAGAATCTCAGGCACACTCCCTGCTGAGCGCAGAGCCTGTGGGGCTCCATCTCATGACCCCGAGATCATGACCTGAGCCAAAACCAAGAGTCGGAGGCTCAACTGACTCAGCCCCCCAGGCACCCCTGGAGTCATTATTATTAAGTAGTTCTTCCTGTCCTTCCTGTCGGGGACTCCAGTTACTTGGGGCTAGGCCGGCTGGAGGTGGTCCTGTGGTTCACGGGTACGTTATTTGGGTGGAAAGGAGAAGTATTTTTCCTCATTAGTTTCTTTGAATTCATTAATTTTCTGCAATGTCTAATCTGCCTGTAATCCCATCTAATGTATTTTTCATTTCAGACATTTTCACCTGTAGAAGTTCAGGGTGGAATATTTCGTTTTTACACATGACACGCTCAGTGTTCCTTGGGTTTTTTTTTACCATGCGTGCAGGTGTGAAAATGCCTGTTATGTTCTTGACCCATTGGTTCTAATGTCTGTGTCACTTCTGGACTTTTCTGTTCTTTCCTCACTGAGTGATTTTTCTTGTTTCTTTGAATGTCTGGTATTTTTTCGTTGGATGCCAGAAATTAGGACGTCTACTTGGGTGGATGCTGGTTATTTTTGCATTCCTATAAATGTCTTTGAGCTTTGCTAAGGTACTTTGAAGTACTTGGCTCCTTTTTGGACTTGCTCTTAAGATACACGAGGTGGGGTCACAGCAGTGCCTGTTCGGGGGTGTTCCTTCCCACTCCTGAGGTGAGGCCTCCCTGCACCCAGTGTCCCGTGGTGTAGACAGTACTGTGCGCTGCTGTCCCTCCCCCCGTGACGTCAGTGTGGGAGCAAACTCCAGTTCACGCAGCTTCCACCAGTCCTGCTCTCCCCAGACTGTCAGCTCTGTGTCCTCAACGCAGGGTCTCAGCCAGGGGACCGTCATCACGCTCACCTGGCTTGTCTCCCGTCTCCAGTGTCTTGAACACCATTGTTTCTCACGGGAGGTAAATCTGGGCCCTGTTGTCTCACCTTGACTGGAGGCAGGGTTTTAACAGGAAAAGCTGATGATCCATGGGCATCTCAGTTGTGTCTCTGCTTTATGGTGTGATGTGGAGACTGTCCTTCTATGCTGCGCGAGCTGCTTCCCCCACCTCAGGCCCCCACACATGTCCCCACAAGCACAAGGGCTCCAGCCCCCTCTGCAATGGGTGTGCCGCCGTGTGTCCCACACCTCACAGACTGTGTGTCATTTCAGGCCAATATAGCCGAGCTGGAGGTCTCGATTCCTGCCAAGCTGCACAACTCCCTCATCGGCACGAAGGGCCGCTTGATCCGCTCCATCATGGAGGAGTGCGGCGGGGTGCACATTCACTTCCCAGTGGAGGGCTCAGGGAGTGACACTGTTGTCATCAGGGGCCCCGCCTCGGATGTGGAGAAGGCCAAGAAGCAGCTCCTGCACCTGGCCGAGGAGAAGGTGAGCTTCACGCCCGGGAGTGACGGCGCTGTGTCTCCCTCTTGCTAGAAATCCTTGCCCCGTTGTTGTGGCAGGTCAGAAAATTGCTTCACACACCTTTTTGTGTCTTTGATTTTGCTGCTGCTGAACAAAGGGCCTTGGCAGGTTAAAAGCCTACTTATACAATACAGAGAATTTGCTGTTTGGCTTATTGGTTTGGGGTTTTTTGTTTTTTTTTTGTTTTAAGATTTTATTTCTTTGAGATTGAGCACAAGCAGGGGGAGTGGCAGAGGGAAAGGAAGAAGCAGGCTCCCTGCAGCCTGACATGGGGCTCTATCCCTTGACCCCAGGATCACGACCTGAGCCAAAAGCAGACACTTACCCGACTGAGCCACCCAGGCACCCCTGGGGTTTTTTTTGTTTTTTGTTTCTTTTAAGTATGATTATAGACAATGACACCCGCCTTTCTTAGCGTATACTTCTGAGTTTTGATGAGCATAAACAAACTCATGTGACCACCACTGCAGTGAAAATGTTTTGGCCATCACCCCTGAAATTCTGCATTGAGTCACCTTTGCCCCTTTGTCAGAACCCACGTGTGGGTCTGTTCCTGGACCCTGCTGTGTTCCCGCAAGTCCGCGGGGAGGGATGGCTGGGACGGCCCTCCAGCTTTGCGCTTTTTCGGACTGCTCTAGCCGCTCTGCATCTTTGCCCTTCTGCGCACGTTTGGAACCAGCTTAACAGTTTCTAGGGAATCCTGCTGGGATTTGGACTGGGGCAGTGTTGAATCTAACGATCAAATCGGGGAGAATTGACAACTCAGGACTTTGGAGTTTTCTGGGCTGTGTTCCTAAGTTTTCAGTCTTCGATTTTTCGTTGGTGTTTTGTAGTTTTAGCATGCGGATCTCGTATTGTGTTCAATTTAAATCCTCACTATTTTGCTTTCTAGCGCTGTTGTTAAATGGTACTTTTTATTTCACTTTAATTTCCAGTTACTGTAGCATGTAGAAATATATCTGATATTTTTATATTGGCTTTCTTTTGTGCATCTGGTTTAAAGTTCATTTATCAGTTCCAGTAACATTTCTTGTGGATTCTTGAGTTTTCTGTGTGACACACATTGTCTGTGAACAGACAGTTGAATTATTTCCTGCTGACCGTACACCTGTAGGGTGTGGTCTCACTGCACCGCTTGGGCCTCCGGTACGGTGTTGAGGGGCAGCGGTGAGAGGGGATGGCCGTGCCTCATTGGCGACCTTTGGGGAGAGTGCTCAGTCCCGCAGCATTGAGTGGGAAATGAGCTGCGGTCTTCCAAAGAAGCTCTCTGTCAACTTGAGGAGGCTCCCTTCTGCCAAAAGTTTGCTGAGAGCTACTGCGGGAACGGGAACAGGGGTGGGACTTTGTAGGAGGCTTTCTATGTATCTGTTGACACGACAGCATGGTTTCTCTTTTTTTAAGCATATGTATTAGATTTTTTTAGTGTTTTTTGTGGGGGTTTTTTGTTTGTTTTTTTTAAAGTTTAACCTTGCTTTTCTGGGATGAGCCCCACTTGGTTTAGGTATGCTGTCCTTCATCGTGTTGCTGGGCTAGGCTCACCTAGCTCCTTAGCTTTTTAATAATGTTACTGTTTTCCAGTGTCTGTGTCTGAAGATTCTCTCAGGGGTGTTTGGGAAATCAGCAATTCAAAGATAACAAAATTCATTTGCTTGTTACTTTTTAGCATGCTGGTAGACCTTCTTTTCCTTTGTGTTTCTTCATGCTTGTGTGCCAGGTTCCAGAATACAAGGAAAGAGAGGAGAAGGCATTGTGTGGGTCTGAGTCAACTTGAAGGTGCAGGTGCTCTCCTGTTGTATCTGCCAGATGAGCTGGCATCCTCAACAAGGTCATCATGTCGGGGCCTTTGCTGGGCCTTGGCTTCTTGGTGTCAGATGAGGGCCTTGGTTGGCTTGAGTCTGTCTGAGATTGAGATTGGGCCTTGCTGTGTTGGTGTGTGGGCTCCCCTGTAGCCCGAGCAGAGGGAGGCCTGGACAGGGAGCACTCTGCTCGACTTGGGGAGGCGCAGGAGTGCCGTGCCTGGGTGTGGGGCTGGCAGTACTGTGGGCTTACCTTCTGTGCCAGGTGCACCCCTACTCCCCTGGCACCCCGAGGCCATACTCACTTAGTCCCCTCTGTAGGTGGAGAGCGGCGTGCAGGGGTTGGTTGGGTCACTGCCGGTAAGTGGCAGGACTGGGCCTATGAATGTATATGCTCTGAGCCATCTCAGTGTCTGGACGGCAGAGGGGCCGTAAGTACTTCTTGTCTGGGTGTCCATCCCTTTGTTTTGGTGAGGCTTAATAGCCGCAGGCCTTTGTTCTCTAGGCCCTCTTATTTACCTGCTCGGGGGACCAGACAGGTAGCATCAGGCCAGTGTATCTGGGATTGGTTTCCACAGCAAACCAAGAGTTTCACCGTTGACATCCGCGCTAAGCCAGAATACCACAAGTTCCTCATTGGCAAAGGGGGTGGCAAAATCCGCAAGGTGCGTGACAACACTGGAGCCCGCATCATATTCCCAACGGCTGAGGACAAGGATCAGGACCTGATCACCATCATAGGGAAGGAGGACGCTGTCCGGGAGGCCCAGAAGGAGCTGGAGGCCCTCATCCAGAACCTGGTAAGGCCTGGTGGGAGCTGCACCTTGGTCGTCCTGTCAGGCTTGGTCAGCAGGGTCATTTACTTTTTCCCCTCCCTCCATGCCTCAGGATAATGTGGTGGAAGACTGCATGCTGGTGGATCCCAAGCACCACCGCCATTTTGTCATCCGAAGAGGCCAGGTCTTGCGGGAGATTGCTGAAGAGTATGGTGGGGTGATGGTTAGCTTCCCACGCTCTGGCACACAGAGCGATAAGGTCACCCTCAAGGGTGCCAAGGACTGTGTGGAGGCGGCCAAGAAGCGCATTCAGGAGATCATCGAGGACCTGGTAGGTGCCTGGGAGGGTGGCAGGGTTCTTGGCCCCAACAGCCAGGGGCAAAGCAAGGGGCTGGGGTCTCTCAGCCTCTGGCCTTCATCCTGACAGTTGGAGGGAATACTACTCCTAACCAGCAGGGCGTTTTAAAACGTGATGAGATGCCATTTGTGCAAGGAACCAGCCTCTCTCCAAAGGGAAGAGAAGAGACGGAAGGGGAGGGCCTGTCAGAGCGGATCCACACGGAAACCAGTTGGGTTTTCCCTCCTGGCACTCCCCTGCTGCGGCCTGGGAAGTACTTCCCTGACCATCAGTCCCAACGCCTCCTTATGGAGTCGTAGCCCCAGCGTTCGCTGTCAGTGGCTCACGCAGCCACCCTTCAGGGACAGCACCTAGCCGTGCAGGAGGCACGGAAATAGCTGTACTCCTAGCTCTGGGCGGCAGCGAGTCTCGGTGCCATTTTGTGCAGATGTGTCATCAGTACTTTTTTGCGTCTGGGAAATGTGTCAGAAAGAGGCATCCCATTCGCTCCTGCCTCGTGCCCCTCCTCTCTCCACCCTGTTGTACTTGGAGCACTTGAGGTGTCTGCAGAGGACTGAGTGGAGGCTGGTGAGGATGTGCACTGACCCTAAGCAGTTAACCTTTGCCTTTATTTTTTTCTTTCTTGCTGTGCCCCGCAACCCCCCCCGCCAGGAAGCCCAGGTGACCATAGAATGTGCCATACCCCAGAAGTTCCATCGATCTGTCATGGGCCCCAAAGGTTCCAGAATCCAGCAGATTACTCGGGACTATAATGTTCAGATTAAGTTCCCAGACAGAGAGGAGAACCCAGGTGGGTCCCAGCGGTGAGCTCTGTGCTGAGTGGGGAAGCAGGAGGTGTGTGAATGGGCCCCGCCTGGGGAGTTCCGGAGCTTCCCTAGGACATGGGCTCTATCAGTTGCTGCAGGGTGATGGGTGCCCTTGCGGTGTCAGGAGGCTTGCAGCGGGTGACGCGGCAAAGGAGGGCAGAGCACCTGCGGCCTCTGAAGCAGGGAAGCACCCGCCCCAGCTGCCACCCTGAGTTTGGTTCTGAGGCTTCTCACAAGTCCCAGGTGACCTGTGTGCTAGAGCTGCTTCCGCTCTGTCCACTGCAGCTGCCTCTCCCCCAGCACCCCTACTTGACGGGTCTTATGCCTTGAGAGGCAGGCACCCTGGCTGCCCTTCTACCACAGCCCCTCGCACCAGTGTCCTGCTTATCGCTTGGCTCTGCATGTGCCTCGGGGACAGTCAAGTGGTAGGCAGTCACGAGGTGACCTGCACAATGAGGGGTCTCAGAGCTGACTTTCCAAGACCTGCCTCCCGCTCGGGTTGTGGCCAAGTGAACAGTCGTCTTTGTGGACTGGTCTCGGTGGATGCGTCTGGTCTGGTTGGCGACGGTGTCCACTCCCTGTGCTCTGTCCTCTGCAGAGCTGGTTGCGGCCGCTGACTCTCCCGTTGCCCTGAGAGCGCACGGGCTGTTTTGAGTACATACGGAGGAAAACCGCATAGGATAAAGATGCATTTTCTGTATTATCTAAATTCAGTTTGTTTTCTCTTGCCCCCCCTTCTTTTATGCATACGGTCTTTTTTTCTAAGTCATTGGAGTGGACTCTTCAAACTTATCCTTAGTGGCTCCTTCCTAAGAATGAGAACTTTTTTTTTTTTTGACGTCATTTGCGATAATGGGTACATCCATCATCGGAATCAGCAGATCTAACAGTATATGGTACTGTTACCAAATTTAGTCGGTGTTCAAATTTTGCCACTTTGGAAAGTGTCTGCAGAGCCCGACCTTCCCCCCCAGTTGGGTACGGGACTGTGATTGCTTCGGCTGTCCTGCTATTGCTCGTTCACACATGTTCCTGTTGTACACACTCCTGAATCCTGTCCTGCCCCGTGAGGCTTGCTTTTGTGTTCGGGTGCACACCTGGTCCCCCACCAGCCGGCCTCTGTGTCAAGTGTCCTGTCCCTTCATCCTTGAGTCTCGCTTGCTTGCCTGCTTCCTGGCATAAGAGGCTGGAGCCCTCTCCCCTCCTCCCTCCCAGCCTGTGTTGTAGGCCCCTCCCCACAGCCATGTCCCAACCCCAGGGCTTGGACTCTTAGTCTCCTTGCCCCTCAAACACGGTGGGTGCCGTACCCCATGCCTCCCACACGCCAGCCTCCAAGGTAACCAGCTCCGCCTGAGTCAAGGAGGTGACTCATGTCCTCCTGGGAAGCCAGGCGTGTGTAGGTCTTCCCTCCCCACTCCCGTCAGCACATGGAGGGTGCAAAGTCGGCACTGTGAGCTGCCCCACCTTGTCTCCCCAGTTCACGGTGTAGAGCCGTCAGTCCAGGAGAACGGGGACGAGGCCGGAGACGGGAGAGACGCCAAAGAGGCCGACCCTGGCTCCCCCAGGAGGTGTGATATCATCATCATCTCCGGCCGGAAAGAAAAGTGTGAGGCCGCCAAGGAAGCCCTCGAGGTGGGTGCGGCCTGATGCTGGCTGCCGGTGGCACTGGCCTCACCGGCCCGGGGCCCAGAGCCGGCGCCTGGGGGCTGTTGACGGGCAGGGAACTGACAGGTTTCAGTGACAGCAGGGGGATGTGGTCTCCAGCCTCGGGTTCCTTTTCTGTCACAGAGTGAACCAAATCTATCTCGGACTTGTAAGGATGAGTCCTTTGTGCTGTGAATACTTAAGTGAGTGCCACCTACCTGTTGGGCACTGTTTTAAGCGCCGCTGTCATCTCTGAGACCCATGTGGGCTTGGCTGCAGCCTGACCTTGACATCAGTGAGGCCAGGAGTCGGGGCCGGCCTCTGCGTCTGAGCCCCATTGGTCCCCTCTGTAAGCCTCAGATTGCTCTGGGTTTTTTCCTGAATTCAGTTTAGTCTGTTTTGTTTTGTTTCTGTAAGTGGCCAGTCACATTTAAGAGCATAAGCTTGCGGTTGACTGTCTGAAAGTTTGTCCTGTTGGCATTAATCTTTAAAAAATGGATTCCATGTTTTTTGTTTTTTTGTTTTTAAGAGTGCACGCACACACAAGCAAGTGGGGAGAGGGGCAGAGGGAGAGAGAGAATCCCAGGCGGACTCCCCAAGTATGGAGCCCAATGCAGGGCTTGATCCCAGGACCCCTGAGATCATGACCTGAGCCGAAATCAAGAGTCAGACGCTTAACCGACCACCACCTGGGCGCCCCTTGATTCCATGTTCTTTTTTTGTGTCTTCTTTTGAGTTAAAAGCCTGGGTGCTGGTCTCAGTTTAGACGGAACAGCATGGAAGGTTCCAGGAAGCTCCCTCTAATTCTCACAGGGTCACTCTGCTCCCCGCTAGCTCTCAGGCCTGCCCCTGACCGTCTTCCCTGCAGGCGCTGGTTCCTGTCACCATCGAAGTGGAGGTGCCCTTTGACCTTCACCGGTACATCATTGGGCAGAAGGGGAGCGGGATCCGGAAGATGATGGATGAGTTTGAGGTACCATGATTTACAGTCTTTTCCCTGGAGCCAGTGTTGGGTGGGAGCCCTCCCAAGGGCCTCTGGCAGTTCAGCCCCTTGGGCCTTCCTCCTGCTCTTAACCGTGCAGTACCGGCCGCCCCTAAGTCTTCGTCCGCGACCCCATCTACATCAGGTCCATCCCTGTCTCCATTTAGGTGAACATCCATGTGCCGGCGCCGGAACTGCAGTCCGACATCATCGCCATCACTGGTCTTGCCACGAATTTGGACCGGGCCAAGGCTGGCTTGCTAGAGCGCGTGAAGGAGCTGCAGGCTGAGCAGGAAGATCGGGTGGGTGTCTGTTGGGCCGTGGGGGCGTCCTCCAGAGCTGCGGTCCTCAGCCTTCGTCTTGCCAGAGTGTCACCAGCACCCTGGCCACGCTGCAGCCAGTTTGGCTGGGTGACTGGAGGAGGACCAGGCCGACCCGGTCGTGGTTTGTGTCCAGTGGCCTCTCTTCAGATGCAGTGTTAAGAGCATCGCACTTTTCTCTTCCATACAACTGCAGCAAAGTTAGATTCCCTGTTAATTAGCACTTTTTTTTCAAAGTAAATGTGCCATGTTGTGGTGCCTCCAACCGCACAGGAAAGGTAAGGTTGGAGAGGCCTGAGAGCCATTGCTGCGAAAGACCCCCCAAACGTGAGTGGTGTGAGGTCCTGGGTGGGTGTCAGCGGGCCCACGTGGACCTTCTCACTGCTCAGTTTCCCTGCTTTTGAGGGAGGGTTCAAGACCCACGTCCCCTCTGTAGAGCTGGTGTTGGAGGGTTTCCTGAGTGGTGAACGGTGCGGCTGGGTGCTGTCAACCTCCAGAAGTCGTGTTATAGATGATGTGGGTCACGGGATTCCTACTGAGGAGGATTTCCTGGAGTCGTGCTGGGGATACGGCCCACAGACCTCACACACCTGAGTGTGGTTCTGACGGTCTCAGCCTCTGGCCATGGATTTCTCAGGCTGGCTGGCCCGCTTAAAACTTTAGGCCTGCTTTTCTATCCCCCACCCCCCCAAACATTTTTATACTTACTCATCAGATCCCTACTAAACCAATTAGAAAGTTGAACTCAGAGCTCACCGCTTGCCACGCCAGCCTTGTCGGCGCCCGAGCAGTCCTTTGTGAAGGGTCTGTGTTCTTGCTTACAGGCTGGTCCTTGAGCTGGTGGGGCGGGGTGACAACAGAGGCTAACAGGAAAGCAGTGTCTAATTTTTGTCACTGGGGATACCTTTGGGGTCCAGGACAGAAAGGGGGGTGAGGCACATTGGCTACGTGTGATGGTGAAGGTCGGGCTTGAACTCCTCCACCCTTGTCTTATCTGTAGGCTTTAAGGAGCTTTAAGCTGAGCGTCACTGTGGACCCCAAATACCATCCCAAAATTATTGGGAGGAAGGGGGCAGTGATTACACAAATCCGCTTGGAACATGATGTGAACATTCAGTTTCCCGATAAGGACGATGGGAGCCAGGTAAGAATGACTGCTTGGGTCAGACTCCATTGCCGGAGCATTTTGGGGCAGATGGACTCTTGTAACCTCATCCTGACCTGGGAGCAGTGAGCGGGCAAGTTTAGGATGTGCCCAGGTGGGTGGAGAGAGGGCGGAGTGCAGAGTGGCAGGTCTCTGAGGATCGGATTTTGGCTTGGGCTTTGGGCCCTGTCTTGGTCCGTGTCAGCCTGCATCGCCGCATGGACCTGGGGCACTTTTCCCCTGCCCACCTGGTCATCTTGGCAGGCAAGCTGGGGCTCCAGCTGGGTCTGTCCCACACGGTAGTCCCCAGGGACTACAGGTGCAGTCCTTCAGGGAGCACCCTCCCCCGCCCATCACTCCCCTTCCTGTCTTCCTCTTGGCTCCCGTAGGGGCCCCTTCCAGCACATCTTGCACACAGTGGCAGCCCAGTCTCTGTGTCTCCTGCAGTGGCATGCAGCGGAGCACCCAGAAATGGCTTGCTTAGAATCTTCTGGCCAGCAAATCCCAACACGCCTCTACAGACTCTGGCCTTCCTTTTTTTTTTTTTTTTAAGATTTTATTTTATTTATTTGAGAGAGAGCACATGAGAGGGGGGAGGGTCAGAGGGAGAAGCAGACTCCCCGCCGAGCAGGGAGCCCGATGCGGGACTTGATCCAGGGACTCCAGGATCATGACCTGAGCCGAAGGCCGTCGCCCACCCGATTGAGCCACCCAGGTGCCCCAGACTCTGGCCTTTCAACCTGCGTCCATGCACTGTGGCAGGCCGTCTGTCTGTACGTTCTTTCTCTCCTTGGCCCGAGTCTGTGAGCCACACACTTACCTGAGTTCAGAAAGGCAGGCAGGCCTGTTGGGGCTCACCCCGCGGCCCCCGCCTCTCCTGTCTGCCTCTTGCCTGGTCCTACCTTCCCCAAGTGCGTCCTTGTGTCTGCCTCTGCATTTCTAACAGACACGTTTACACTGCTGTTCTTTTTTATTCTTTGTGGGGTTTTGTTTGTTTTATTTAAGCTGTATGCCTAATGCGCTTGAACTCATGACCCTGAAGTCAAAAGTCACCTGCTCTTCCAGTTGAGCCAGCCAGGTGCCCCTCTAATTTTTAATGTTTCTATTTATTTTTTTAACTTTTTTTTTTTTTTAAATGTTATTTATTTGAGAGGGGGAGAGAGTGTGAGTGAGAGCCCAAGAGCAGGGAGAGGGAGAAGCAGACTCCCCCCTGAGCAGGGAGCCGGATGTGGGTCTCAGTCCCAGGACCCTGGGATCATGACTTGGACCACTCAGGTGCCCATCATTTTTAATGTTTTTAAATCTGAGAATTCAGTTTCTAAACTCCTCACCTTCACTCTGTGTATTTCCTTCAACTTTTCTATGTAAATACCACGTTTTTAGTCGTTATTTGGTGTTCAGACCACTGTGGTTAATACTTCACGAGCCGAAGAGGGTCGGGTGGCCACATTTTCTTCATACGCAGCCTTTTCCTGTGAGGGTCATGCTTCCGTTGGCGGAATGTTTTGGTCTTGGTGTTGGGCGAGGCGCTCGTCAGCGGGTGGCAGGTTCTGGGCATCGGGACTAGCTGCTGCTCTGTGGTCTTTCTGTCCTCTCTCCTGGGCAGGTCTCGAAGTTTGTGCTCTTTGCTTTGTCTCCCAGTGTGTCTGCTCTCCGGTCCTTTGTCCGTTGCTCTTGTTTAGGGTTAGTATGTTAACGAACGCAGCTTATGGATGGGACTTTGTGTTCACATGTCCCTTATGCCTCGAGTCGTGTCTCTACAGATGTGGTGTGCTTGCCTGTCCGTGTGCATGTAGGAGGGAGGCCCTGGGCTGGGGCGCACTGTGGCTGTGGAGTGCTGGCCATGGTGTCTGGGACCTTCTCTCCAGGTCGGTCTGTCTCCAGCAGGACACCTCCAGATGCAGGGCCCGGGGTCACCAACACTGTGCCCCCTCCTGCAGCTGTCCGTGTGCCGATGCCCTTTCTTTTCCTGTACGTGTCTTTTTGGTGGGGGTGGGAGGGGAGTGGGCAGGAGCTAATAGGCGTTGTTGACCTGTGTTAAATCAGCACCTGACGTTCTTTCCTAGCTTTTTTCGGTTCTGAGCGGGTCAGTGTTTCCCCTCAAGCTGAGGCCTGCCTCATGCAGCCAGTGCTGCCTCTTGTCCTCACAGGTCTTGTCTGCTGGGTTGGGGCTCCCAGCCTGGAATTTCTGGGGGCGTCCCCTCTTCTGACCAGTTTTTCCTTTCTCAGCCCCAGGACCAAATTACCATCACAGGGTATGAAAAGAATACAGAAGCTGCCCGGGACGCCATATTGAAAATTGTGGGTGAACTTGAACAGATGGTTTCTGAGGATGTCCCACTGGACCACCGTGTTCATGCCCGCATCATTGGCGCCCGCGGCAAAGCCATCCGCAAAATAATGGATGAATTCAAGGTGGGTCCCCAACCCAGCCGTGGAGGGGTGTCATTAAGTCCTGGAGGCACAGTGGGTGCGATGGGGTGCGTGCTTCCTGCTCTGGCAGGGCACTTCCTTCCACACGGGCTAGTGGAGGGCCTTGGGTCTTCCTGCCTCAGCTGCTGACCTCACTTCGGGTTTGGAAGGGAGACCCCTGACGCTCGGGTGCCTGTCCCTAAGTTGGTGAGGCAGTGCGGAGGGCACAGCCGTGTGCCGTTGATAGCATTGGACGGTGTCCTGCACTGGCCGCAGGAGGGGCTCCCCCACAGTGCACCAGCGGCTTCTGTATCTGTCATGCTGTGCTTAGCTCTGACGTACAGGACCTTTGCCTCCTGAAAACAAGGTTAACTTGGGAAAACTTCACTAGAAATCCACCATTCCCAGCCATGCATAACCATGAGCCTCTGGTTCAGAGACCCCAGGTGGAGGGCTTCCAGCCACCTCCAGCTGCTGTGTGTGCTCCTTCAGGTGGACATTCGCTTCCCGCAGAGTGGAGCCCCAGACCCCAACTGCGTCACCGTGACGGGGCTCCCAGAGAATGTGGAAGAAGCTATCGACCACATCCTCAACTTGGAGGAGGAATACGTGAGTTGTGGTTGGGCAGCATGTCTGTGCCCGGAACACCCTGCCTCTGACTGGCCGGGGATGACAGCAAGGCCATGTGCATTTGCTCCCAGGGGCATGCGGGTGTAGGGTCTCCCCTGAGCGGTCCTGGTCGTTGTGCATGCCTGCTGCAGACTGACACCCCCCCCGCCCCCGCCTGTGCCCACAGCTGGCTGACGTGGTCGACAGTGAGGCCCTGCAGCTGTACATGAAGCCGCCAGCCCACGAGGAGTCCAAAGCGCCATCCAAGGGCTTTGTGGTCCGGGACGCTCCCTGGACCGCCAACAGCAGTGAGAAGGTCAGATGCTGTTGTGACCCTCCATGTGCCCTGGGAAGGGGGAGCCCCTGCGAGCAGCACTTACTTCTCCATTTGGGAAGCTGCTCAGGTGGGAGCCCCTTACTAAAGCTGTGCACTCTTTCCCCCTACAGGCCCCTGATATGAGCAGCTCTGAAGAATTTCCCAGCTTTGGGGCTCAGGTGGCCCCCAAGACCCTCCCATGGGGCCCCAAACGATAATGATCAAAAAGCAGAAACCTCTCCAGCCTGCTGCCCCAAACCCCACCACACATGGTTTGTTTCAATCTGACCCAGCAGCTGGACCCTCCATAAATTGTTGACGCCTCCCCCTCCCCGAGGTCTCGCAGTGAAGCCGGGCGTGCCAGCACCCCGCGTGCGCTCAGGATCTGCTCCCTGACACCTTTGCTCTGGGACGGCTCTCCACTGTTGTGAACACTAACAGAGGTAATTGGACATTTCCCTATAAGCGTCCTGGCTCATCCAGCATGTCAGTAAGGCTCTGGCCTCCACTATGAGAGCTGCACAGCTGTGGCTGAGTCTACTTCCTGTGTCATGACCTCAGGAAATAAATTTCCTTGACTTTATAAAAGCCAAAACGTTTGCCCTCTTCCTTTCCCACCTCCTTTCCTCCCTCTGCCTGCCGTCCGGACCCTCCTTGTCAAATGCAATCCACCTTCTTCCAGCTGCCAAAAAGCCCACTTAGCCCAGACCACAGGGTGGGGAGGAAGACCCAGTGTGCTCCCTGGGAGCGCCCGGACCCGAAGGAGAGCCGCGGTGGAGCCAGAGGGGACCAGAAAGGCAGAAGGGTGACCCAGGTTCTCAGGCGGTCTTGGCTTTACACACATTGGGGTCTGAAAGCACCGAGTGTCTCTACCCCTGCACCACACGGCGCTGGAGACCCCAAGTCTGGTGAGCGAAGCCTGAGGGCAAGGCTGCAAGTCTCCATCTGGGTCCCCTGTGGCTGGCCTGGTGGCCTGGTGTGGCCTGAGAAATGTGGGGACGGAGAGGGGAGGCCCGCAGAGCAGCGGGGTAGACCATCCACTCCTCCCTCGTGCCCACCCCCACAGATGACCAGGTGTTGAGTCGCCTCCTTTCTACCTCAGAGCCAGCGTGGCGTGGTCCCATGCTTAGGGGAGTGCCACCCCCAGCGCTCTTTGGAGGTTTCTGGTGGTGGCATGTTTGCTGCCGCGCTGGGGCTCACCCAGGCTGTCCTCTAACACATGCCCGGATGCTGTGTGTGCCGGCTCCCGGGAGTTGGCTTGGTGAGGCAGGCTTCGTAGTCCTGGGGTGGAGAGAGGTGGTCAGCTGGCCTGGTCCAGAGGACCGGCTGGTGACAGGGGAGGGTCTGCTCTGTCTCAGGTGCGTGGTGGGTAACTGCGGGTGTTGGACCACAGGCCTTGGCGAGACAAAGTGCCCCCCGCCCCCGATTGTTGAAGGTCCGCTCTGGAGAGGAAAGGGGGTCCCGGGCAGTGCGGAGGTGCCTGTGTGCCATGTCGTGTAGGAACGACGACGGGCGCTTTGTCTCCCCATCTAGCTTCCCCATCCCTGCCTCTGCCCCCACAGAGGTGACTGGGCCTTCTCGTGTTGTTCCACCCCGAGATACTGGAGTTCCTAGGGGCCAGGCATGTGTCTGACATGTGTCCCGCACACAGCCTCCGCCACCCCTGCGCCCCCATCCTTCACTCTCGAGCTCCATTAACTGAAGCTCGGTGACCTTCCGACTCTGAACTTCTGAGTAGACTGAGAATCGCTTGGCAAGTGTACCTCGAGCTGCCCGCACAAGCTCCTGTCCACCGCGGCAGCCTGCAGTGTGCCCGTCTCTAGGAGCCATAGCCTGGGGTGGGAGAGAACGCGCACTTGAGCGGACAGGCTGGGTGATCCCAGAGCAGGCCCGGTGAGGAGACAGAGGGAGGAGGGGCGGCGCTGCCTTGCCTTTCTCCAGGCGCACCCCCTCCATCTCTTGGGGAGCCTGATTGGGAAAGGGCCCCTCCTCTCCACCTGCATGAGGCTTGGAGCCTTCCCTGTGGCCATCTTGTTCTCTCCGCCCACCCTCCGACTCCCACGGCGTCGACCCCAGCCCCTCTTCCCTTCGTCCTTTCTGCAGCACCCTTCCACCACCCCCACCCTTCCCTAGGGGTAAATTTTAAATTTTCACAACAGGTTTTTTGCACATTTGCATTTATTGCTAAATGTTGTAGATGCAAACCCCCCCGCCCCTTCCCTAAACTGTACTTGGGATCTTGTGTGCTCTCTTTTTGGTGGTTGTTACTAAAGATTGCTTGGTGACCCTGCCCAGGCCTGGTCTCCTGAAGCCGCCCCTGCTGCTGGCACAGCCCTGGGCAGGGTGGGGTGTGCGTGTCCATTCCCTTTGTTGAATGTCTTCCGTATCATGTGTTTCCATAGCTATGATCCGTCCCTTGGCCTTAATTTTGGAATCTGGAGATTATATGCAAACATGTGTAAAGGCTTATGAATATGGATGACACTGGAATTTTATAAATTCTAAAATAAAACCCGAAACCAGATATAGTGTGCTAGAACTCATTTTGTCATGCGGCATGTCTTTTTTTGGTCCTGTGGAACCACGGGTGTCTTAACATGCTCTTGAGTGGTAACTGGATATCCATGGATAGTTCTAGTCTCTGCTGTGATTCTCCCAGCTGGCATACGTGGGAGGTGGATCGGTTCCCTGAGAGCAGACAGGTGAGGGGCTGGGAGGGAAGCAGGCAGTGGGCCCTGAGCAGGGGTGAGAGGAGCCACCTGCCCTTGGGGCTGGGAGAGACATGGCAGGGAGCAGCTCCAGCAGTTGCTGCTGCAGTCAGCTGGGCTTGGGAGCCCCCAGCCAGCACCCGGGAGGTAAGGTGCATGAGCAGAGACCCAGGGTCACTGAGGGCGCAGCGCTCTGGGCCAAGAAGGGGCAGGAGGTGAGCTGTGGCCTCTTGAGGGCAGTGAGCCTTTGATAGCTCTGGGGCCTTGGAGTCCCTGCCCTCCAGGTGGGACTGCCAACTTGAGGTGACCCCTGTGACCTCAGAGGGAGGGGACGGGTGAGGCATGGCTGACTCCTGGCATTGTAAGCTGTGGGCCCAGACTCTTCTCCAAGCCCAGGAAGCTGTTGTCCTTTGTCAGTTTGTTCCAGAGAGAGCCTGTCTCCAGGAAAGGGTGCAGGAGGGAGTGACTGGACTGACCGTGGTCTGTCACGTGCCACGGCGGAGCACCGGGCCAGGCGCCATGCCACTGGTGGACAAGGGAAGGTGACACAGGAGGGGTGGGGGAGGCGGAGGGGCTCACCTCGTTCTCAGTGCCTGCTTGGCCAGGTAGTACTCCCGCTTCACTTTGACCTCCACAGACTCGGGAACGTCGGGCACCAGGAGGTCGAGGACCCGGCCCATGGAGAATACCACGTGCTGGGAGCAGGACACGGTATGAGCAGCGGCAGAAGATACCTGCCCTTTGTAGGACAGATGCCTAGAGTGGCCTGAACAGGGCCAGGTGTGGGCACCTGCTCCCCAGGTGTGGGCTGAGCTGGAGAATCGCAGTGTAGCCGAGGAAACCCCCAGAGCAGGCGGGAGCGATGGCTACAGAGACCTGTCCCAGGTTCTGGGACCCTGGGGAGCCTCCCGGGACACTCTGCAGCGACCAGAGACAGAGGCCAGGCAGGGATTGACCGTTCCCAAGATGGGGAGAAGACCGTGTGCAGGAGAGCTATGGTGTGACCAGGTGATGGCGTGTCTGCACCCCCCATTCCCCCAACACCTGCGCACCACACGGTGGATCTGGCAAGGCGTCCTGAGGGCAGAGGGCAGTACGAGAAGCCAACTGGGGAACTGGGAACCTGGCTAACCTCAAACACAATGATGAAGGCCAGGTGGATGGCCAGAAGATTCCAGTAGGTCGGGGAATTCTGCCCATCATCTTCCCTGAAAGCCTGGTACCTGCAGGAGACCAGGAAGTCAGTGTGGGCAGCTGGGGCTCTGCCTTTTCCTCCCATGATCCTATGACTCTGGGCCAGGCTTACCTGAGGGCGCCTGGAGGAGTATTCCTACACAGGGTTCTCTGACAGGACCTTTAGCTTTCGGTGTTGGGGTTCCAACGAGATGGATGGGCCGGATTGTCCCATTCCCCTGTAGCCTAAACTGGGCCCCGCAGTGGCAAATGTCCTATTGTCCAGCAGATGTGCTGATACAATAAATCTGTGCTTCTATGGGTGGTGTCACCCTAACTGTGAGAACGTGCCATTCCACGAGACCAGCAGCGAGCTCTCCTCACACTTGCCTGCCCAGCACTGCTCTCCCTGACTGAACAGGCGCGATAATTTCTGGTTTGTCATCTTGCCATCCTTTGACAGCTTCTTGTGCTTCTGATAAGGTGCAACATAACTTACATGCTGCACCCCATGGAAAGCACTACCAGGGCCAACTTTGTAGAGGGGGAAAATCTCGAATATTAAACAGTAATTGAGGGAAAAACCATCCATGAATGTAATAAACTTTTGAGTGGCTAAACTAGACACAACAGAAGAGAGACTATGGGGACACGGAGACAATTCTTTGAAGTCACCCTGAATGCTCTACAGAGAGCCAGAAGATGTAACAAATATTCACCGTGCCCTCAGGAGACATGAAGGGAAATCAGAGGTACTCCAACATGGCAGGAGTTCCAGAAGCTGAGAATGCAGACTATAGAAGCTCTGTTTGGTTTTGGGGCTTTTTTGTTTGTTTTTTAAAGATTTTATTTATTCATTTGACAGCACAAGCAGGGGGAGCTGCAGGTAGAGGGAGAGGGAGAAGCAGACTCCCCACTGAGCAGGGAGCCTGATGCGGGGCTCCATCCCAGGACGCTGGGAACATGACCTGAGCTGAAGGCAGATGCTTCACCGACTGAGCCACCCGGGAGCCCCAAGAAGCTCTTTGAAACAATGAAGTGGAGAGGTTTCCAGAACTAAAGAAAGACATCACCTTTTAGATGAAAAGCATACACTGAGTTTCAACTTTTAAGTAGACTCTACCATGACAGAGACCTGTTAGTAACACAAGTCAAGGAAAATCAAAAAACTTTCTAATGCTACCAATGCTTCCTACAAGAAAAGCCAGGTCACAAGAGAGTAATAGTCCCGAAGAGTTGAGGGAAAATAACCTAGAATTGTATGCCTGCTATTTGAAGGACAAAGAGGTATTTCCTGACGTAAAAACCAACCTACATCCGGGTTTGCCAACCACACGCCATTCCTGAAAGTGCAATTCCAGGCAAGAATAAAAACGGAACTCAGAGGGAAGGCAATGCAGAAGAAACCGTAGCCACAGAAGCTAGTAAAATGCACCAAATAGATGTGTTAACAAATGACTAAAAGTGTTATTTTTTTAATAGTAAAACTAAAACTGTGTAACAATAAATAATAAGGTGCAGTGGTGGGTGCTCAGTCAGCAGTAAATGTGTGAAGATCCTTGTCACACAGGGAACGGAGAGGAGTGAATCCCTACAGTCTTGGTTAGGAGCGTTTACATAGTTAAGAATGAATGCTAAAAATGTAAGGGTAACCTCTAAAATAATAAAAATGGACACCATCAGTTCCAAATGAGCAAAAAGAGGAAAAGAGAGAACACTTATAACTCAGCCACCAGAAAGCAGAAGAGAAATAAAAAGGAAAAAGAAAAGTATCCACTATGAAGAAATCATAAATATGAACTTATTTGCAACTTGCAAGAACCTCAGAATACATAAAGCAAGAGGAGACAAGTACACGAAGAAACTGACAACTACATTCCTGGAAAGATTCTCACTCTCTATCGGAGTCTGACAGAGCAGGGGGGAATAAAATGGAAATCTGAGCAGTAAGATTAAAAAGGTTTACCTTGTAAGTATAGAGAGCCTTGCTTCAAAACATAAGATTCAAGTTCACTTGAAACAGCAAAAATCCACTGAGCAGGGCGCCTGGGTGGCTCAGTTGGTTAAGCGACTGCCTTCGGCTCAGGTCATGATCCTGGAGTCCCGGGATCGAGTCCCACATCGGGCTCCGTGCTCAGCGAGGAGCCTGCTTCTCCCTCGAACCCTCCCCCCTCTCATGTGCTCTCTCTCTCTCTCTCACTCTCTCAAATAAATAAATCTTAAAAAAAAAAAATCCACTGAGCAGGTCATAAAGGAAAACTCAACAAATGTGACAGATTTGCATCATCTGGACTCTTCAGGTTCTCTGAGCTCCAAGCAATGACCCCAGAATCAATGATTTTTTAAGTAGAAAAACAAAAAACCTCCACGCTGGGGAGCTTACTCTCCTAAATAACTCATGGATAAATAGGGAGATCACAACTGCAGTTATGAAATATTCAGAAGTAAAGGACAGAGGTGTTACCAACGAAATGAGGCTTTTAAGGGGTAGGTTCAAGTAAACTTATAAATTCGCTTACTAAAACCCAAGAAAGGGCGCCTGGGTGGCTCAGTTGGTTAAGCGACTGCCTTCGGCTCAGGTCATGATCCTGGAGTCCCAGGATCGAGTCCCACATCGGGCTCCGTGCTCGGCAGGGAGTCTGCTTCTCCCTCTGACCCTTTTCCCTCTCGTGCTCTCTATCTCTCATTCTCTCCCTCTCAAATAAATGAATGAAATCTTTAAAAAAATAAAAATAAAATAAAACCCAAGAAAGACAAAACAAATGAGTTAAGGTGTCAAGTCCAGAAGACTGATTTTTAAGAGAAACAAAAATTCTATCTGAAAAGAAAATGAGGTCATAACTACTAAAACAGAAGAGCTTAAGAAAATCATGATGAACAAGTTTGTGTCAGCATATTTTAAAATGTAGCTGGAATAGGGAGATACCACCTCACACCAGTCAGAATGGCTAAAATTAACAAGTCAGGAAACAACAGATGTTGGCAGGGATGCGGAGAAAGGGGAACCCTCCTACACTGTTGGTGGGAATGCAAGCTGGTGCAACCACTCTGGAAAACAGTGTGGAGGTTCCTCAAACAGTTGAAAATAGAGCTACCATACGATCCAGTAATTGCACTACTGGTTATTTACCACAAAGATGCAAATGTAGGGATCCGAAGGGGTACGTGCACCCCCCAATGTTTATAGCAGCAATGTCCACAATAGCCAAACTGTGGAAAGAGCCAAGATGTCCATCGACAGATGAATGGATAAAGAAGAAGTGGTGTATATACACAATGGAATATTATGCAGCCATCAAAAGGAATGAGATCTTGCCTTTGCAACGACGTGGATGGAACTGGAGGGTGTTATGCTGAGTGAAATAAGTCAATCAGAGAAAGACATGTATCATATGACCTCACTGATATGAGGAATTCTTAATCTCAGGAAACAAACTGAGGGTTGCTGGAGTGGTGGGGGTGGGAGGGATTGGGTGGCTGGGTGATAGACATCGGGGAGGCTATGTGCTATGGTGAGCGCTGTGAATTGTGCAAGACTGTTGAATCACAGATCTGTACCTCTGAAACAAATAATACATTATATGTTAAAAAAAGGGGGGGCGGCGCCTGGGTGTCTCAGTCGTTAAGCGTCTGCCTTCGGCTCAGGTCATGCTCCCAGGGTCCTGGGATCGAGCCCCGCATCGGGCTCCCTGCTCCACGGGAAGCCTGCTTCTCCCTCTCCCGCTCCCCCTGCTTGTGTTCCCTCTCTCGCTGGTGTCTGTCAAAAAAAAAGACAGCAGGAAGGGAAAAATGAAGGGGGGACATCGGAGGGGGAGACGAACCATGAGAGACGATGGACTCTGAGAAACAAACTGAGGGTTCTAGAGGGGAGGGGGTGGGGGGACGGGTTAGCCTGGTGATGGGTATTAAAGAGGGCACATTCTGCGTGGAGCACTGGGTGTTATGCACAGACAATGAGTCATGGAACACTGCATCAAAAACTAATGATGTATGGTGGTTAATAATAAAAAAAAATGAAACAGGTTTCTGTAAATAAAATTGGCAAAACTGACGAGAAATGTAAGCAGGCAATAATAAGCCTATGCCCCTGAGCGGACCGGGACTGGGATGCACAGGCACCTTCCCGGGGAGGGGCGGGGGCGCGGGGCGCGGGGCGGCTGGGAGGCCTGAGCCCCAGGGCCAGGGTCCAAAAGCCACCGCCCCGCCCCTGGCCCCGCCCCCGTGGCCCCGCCCCCGGCCCCACCTGCACGTGCGGTTGTGCGCGGACGCGAGGGTGGGCGGGGCGCGCGCCAGCGTGAAGTTGACGAAGCCGCGGAGGTGGCGGGCGCGGGTCCACCGGTAGCAGGCCCGCGGCAGGAAGGCGGACGTGAAGGCCGGCGGGAAGGCCTGGGCGGGGGCGGCTGGTCAGCGGAAGCCCGTCTGCGCGGCCCCGGCGCCCCGCCCGCGCGCTCACGTTGCTGCCGACCGCCAGGTGCGCGATGGCCGTCAGGATGCGGGCCCCGATGCCGACGAACTCGCGCGCGTCCAGGCGGACCTCCGCCCAGCTGCTGAGCAGCGCGAAGTGCGGCGCGAGCGGGCACGCGGCCGCGAGGATGCTGACGAAGCCGAACTGCAGCCCGGTGGAGGAGGGCGGTCCCCGCCGGGCCCCACACACAGCGGGCCCCACCCCCCCAACCCCCCCGCCACCAGCGGGCCCTCCCCTCCGCCCCCCGGGGAGGCTCTGGCCGGCTCTGGCCACCCCTGCAGCTGCTGCACTGGCCCGTCTGATAGACTCACCTCCAGAGACCCCCTCGCCCAGGAAGCCTCCCCTGACAGCTCACGCAGCGCGGCAGGCGTTTCTGGCCAAGCTCGGGCCTCGCCGTGCTCCCTGAGGTCAGCGACTGGAGCTGTCCTCCCCAGTGCTCAGACACCCTGCTGGGCCCGTGGAAGCAGGAACCTGCTTCTGATTTAGGGCTGCCTTCTCCATGCACCCCTCTCAGGGGAGCTTTAGGGAATAGCTTTTTTTATTTTTTTAAGTAAGCTCTACACCCAGTGTGGGGGTCGAACTCACAACCCCGAGATCAAGAGTTGCTGACTGAGCCAGCCAGGCGCCTCGGAATAGCTTCTTGAAAGGGGTTCCTGAGTCTTGTGTGAAATTATGGAGAGCTTGGGGTCCCATTTCTTGTCTGGTGGAGTAGGGACACACGAGGTCAACCCCACTCACGTGTCCTCATGAACAAGCGCGTCTCTCCCTCAGGAACTGTCCTACTCTGTTTTATCCGTAGAACGACGGACAATAACTATCTATCACCCCTTTTGCTTGGGCTACTGGAGAGCTCAGAGCAATGGGCTTGGTTCAGATTCGGAGTGTGTGCATGATCGCTCCCCCTCAGTCATCTGTGAGTACGAGCCCAGACTTGCAGAGACCCGTACCTGTAGTCGACACAGACCCTGCCCTCCAAAAGTGCTTCACCCTGCGTGGAGAATGAGCCACAGGCATGGGTACCACGTGACTAGGGCACCGTGGACCCCAGCAAAGAGCGTGGGCATCCAGATCTCTGGGGAAGGGCGCCTGGATGGCTCAGGTGGTCAAGCGACTGCCTTCAGTTCAGGTCACGATCCTGGAGTCCCAGGATCCAGTCCCGCCTCAGGCTCCCTTTTGCCCTCTGACCCTCCCCTCTCTCATGTGCTCTCTCTCTCAAGTAAATAAATAAAATCTTTAAAAAAAATAAATAATCAGAAGACCCCTGGGGAAAATCACCTCCTAGGTATAGCCGCATCTCGTGCAGGCCTTTGTCCCCACCCTCAGGGCCCGTCTCCCGTGCACTCTGCTTCTCTTCTCACTCCCACCACATGGCTCTGGCCCGTGCTTGCCAGCACCCCATCCGAGGCCCCCAGGCCCGCTTCTGAGCCCCTGTGCCCGCAGCACTGCCCCTTCCCACCCTTGGCCATCCTCTCTCAAGCGCGCCCCCCTCCAACTGCCACAATCTCCTTTCCGGAATCTCGGTCCCCACAGGTAGATGTACACCACGTGCCTGTCCCTGCCCACGGTGCGGGCCAAGGCCGTGGTCACTAACATGGCTCCTACCCATTTCCAGGTACTCTTCGAACAGGCCCTCACAGGGCAGAAGCTCGTAGCCGGCCTCCCAGGGCCCCTGGCCAGCTTCCTCCGAAGGCCCCGCCTTCCTCTTCTTGGAGCAGAGCCGAAACTTTTGCCACCAGCCCTGTAGCTTTCTGGAGGTGGAAACACCCGGGAAAATGGGCCTTGTTTTTCCAGGCTGGGCCCTGCGTGCTCCACAGTTCGGGGGGGGGAGGTGGTCTGGGCCATAGGGAGGGCAGGGGCGAAGCCTCTGCGCACAGACTAGCTGAGAGCATCTACATCTCAGGGGTGGGGGGCATCCCCTCCCCCGCTCCCCTGCACTGCCCTCTGGAAAGTCAGCATTGCTCATGGAAGCTTCTGGGGGGAATGGGTTCCTCCCGGGAAGTGCTAAGCAGGTGCCAAGAGCTATGTCAAATGAGGGCAGCTGCTGTGCCAGGGGCGCTGTGTGTCGCTCCACCCTATGCGGCATGGGGGGGCGCATATTGCTCGGCCACACTGTCACTTGTCCAGGTCCTGTCCCCGCCAGGCACTGAGCTACGCCCTGCCCTTGTAATCTTGAGTTCTGCTTCACTGCGCCAACTGGGCAGAGAAGCAAGGCCGCACCCAGAGCAGGGCGTGCGGTGGTCAAGGTCCCACAACTATGTTTCATGGTGCCCCAGGACAGCCAAGTTGGGAGCTGCTCGCAGGGGAAGATCAGGTGTGCAGGGGGGATGGGACGGTGTCCAGGTTGGCTCCAGCCTGGTAGGGGGGCCCAGTTGCCTTAAGGTGGGCCACAGTGGTGCCAGTGGCGGTGGCACTGGGGAGATGGAAGGCACCTGAAGCCTGGGGCCTCCCTTGCTCCTCCCTGGTGCTGCCCTCGAGGCTGGGGATGCTGAAGAATGCCCTGGCCCAGCCCGAGTGGGCTGCAGATGGGATGGGCCAGCATGGGTGGGGGTGGGCCCGGGAAGCCAGGCCTCCTCCCCACACTAGAGCTGGCCCCAGGGCAAGAGACCTTAGTCAAGCCCAAGCAGCAACCCCATTGGGTGGGGTGTCACAGAGCTCCCGGGGCAGATGGCCGGGGCAGACCCGCCCGCTCCCCTGCAGCTGAGGCCTTGAGGTCCAGGAGGGACTGGACCCACCTTCCCTCTACCTCTGGGTCCAGGCTGGGGCTGGGCTGGAGGCTGCTGCCCCCCACACTCCCAGGTCCCATGGTCCCTGGTTGCTGCCCAGGCAGGGTGGGGTTGACTCACGGGATGAGGATCTCCTGCACACTGTTGATGATCTGTTTGCCCACATGATGACCAGAAGCTCCTGTGCCAGCTCAACGAGGCAGCCTCCAACTGCACACTACAGCAGCAGGGTTTCAGGTCAGCTCGAGGGAAAGACTGGCCGCATACCCAGCCATCCTTCTCTATGCCTCAAAGGTGGCCTGCCATGCTGCCACCCCCCTTTCAGACATGCCATGGCACATTGAAGACTGCAGAGACCCTCCTTCCCTCCCTTGACCTCACCCAAGCCCCCACAGACTGTGCAGAGGGATGATGGGGGTACTGCCATATGGCACCCCAGATTTCCTTTGGGGATCTTTGGGGATCCACGCAGGGTTATGTGGGGCTGACCCTCATAACCCTCATGACTCCAAGGAGGACTCAGGCCCCACTAATTGGCCCAAGTTAAGTGACAGTTGGGCTGGGACTTTTAAGGGGGCTCCTGAGACAGCATGCCTTGTACAGGGGTACTGAGCCAGGGGGTGTTGGGCCAACTGCAGGCATCTTCCCCACCAGGTAAGGAGAACCTGCCTGAGAGCACAGCCTATGCTGGGGAAAGCCACGCAACATCGTTTAAACACCTGGATCCAGCCATACCTGAGCCCACAGGGCCCTGAATGTTTTCAATATCAGAGCCAGTGACATTCCCTTTTTTGCTTAAGCCCGTTTGAGTTAGCAGCTTTTTCCACTGGTCAGTGAATGCTGCTTAACTGATACAGTATGTCACGCACAGTCGTGCCCCTGAGTTGGGGTCCCAGCTGCCCTGTCCCTGAGAAGCCCCTCCCATCTCATGTGAAACTGGAGAGTGTCCCTTCGAGGTGGACCCTTTGTAGTCAGCAATTGGGTTGGGTCACAGGCCAGACCTGTGGGAAGGAAGGAGACCTTCTCCTCAGAAAGGAGAAGAGGTGATGAGCCCAGCTGGGGCTGGTAGCGCCCCACCCATGTCCCCTGACCCAGCGCAGTGGCCTTTAGGGACTCTTCCAGGCACACCTGTCACGCTGCCCGTGGGCTCAGGTGTGCTTGACCTTCCCCCGCTGAGGAACCAGATGCACAGGGACCATTTGGAGGGTTTTTCTACAATGTCCCAGAGGGTCCAGGGCAGAGTCACGCCCAGGGGCTCCCAGTAGTGACCCCCCCTCGGACTCAAGTCCTCACAGGCACACCCCCTTCTGCCTGCTCCCCGCCCCTTGCATGCTTCCTGGGGTGATGCCCAGAACAATTACTTGCACCCAAGTCTTTATCTTGGGGTTTGCCTGGGGGACCAACACGACAGCGATCCTGAATCCTGAAAGTTGGTTTAACTTCTACTTTGTTAAAAACAGGCTCAGGGCGCCTGGGTGGCTCAGTTGGTTGGGCGACTGCCTTCGGCTCGGGTCGTGATCCCGGAGTCCCGGGATCGAGTCCCGCATCGGGCTCCCTGCTCGGCGGGGAGTCTGCTTCTCCCTCTGACCCTACCCCCTCTCGGGCTCTCTCTCTCTCTCACTCTCTCTCTCTCTCTCAAATAAATAAATAAAATCTTTAGAAAGCAAACAAACAAACAAGCAGGTTCATGCCTGGCTCTCAGCGGCTTGTGCTCTTGGGGCCGGGGCCAGCCGCGGGAAGGAGCCAGGCAGCCCTGGCCACTGGCACCCAGCCCATGGGGGTCGCCTGCCTCTGCACCCCCACTCCGCACCCCCCACTCCCCCATGGCAGCTCATGCCCGTCACCAGGGCGGGAACCCGGCTCGGGTGTGCACCAGGCCCCGTGGAAACGGGGGCACAGGCAGGGCACGTGGGCCTGGGGGTGGGTGGTGAGTGGTGCGGGGGTCCCTGTGGGGCTCTGGTGACTCAGGAGGCGCGCTTCGGGGTCTCTACCTCCCCACACACTCACCTCTTCGTTGCGGACCCCAAACAAGGCGTGATAGTTGCCCGGGTATCCCACAAACCTGGAGGAGAATTGGGGTCCTGAGGCCAGGAGTGAGGGGGGTGCTGCCCTTCCGCTTGCCGAGCCCCTTGGCCGCCACCCGGTTGGAAGAAGCGCGAGCTGGACCCTGAAGCCTGGTTTGCGGGGTGAGTCCACCCAGGGCCCTTGTGCCAACCGCCCCCCTTCCCTGGGCATCTGGATGGCACCCCAGCGCCCACATGGGGTGAACACGGGGAAAGCGTGGCCAGAGGGAGCGGCACCGACCTGCCCTGGAAGAAGGCGACAGAGATGGGTGCGGAGCAGAAGCTGACAAACTGGAAGATGAGCACCTTGAGGGTGAAGGCGTCCTCGAACTTGGTCTGGGTGCCGTGCATTTCTGCGGCACGGGGGGCCTCGCTCAGTCCCCCTACGTGAGGCCGCCTCACCTAGCTGGGGAGGGTCTTGGGACAGAAGAAAGGCTGGGGGTGGGGCGGTGGAGGTGCCGGAGGTGGGGACAAACAGGGCCCCCGCTTTTGCAGGAACAGCCCGGGCCACCCCTGCAGGGCCCTGCCCCGGCCGCCCCCGCCCCCGGAGCCTCCGCCTGGGACTCCCGCTCCCCGGAGGGCCCACCCGCCCTCGCTTTCTCTGCAGCACTCCGCCCGCCCTCCCTCCCCGGGCGGGCCCTCGGCTCTCTGTCCCTCTCCCAGACCAGGTTGGTAGCAGACAGGGGTCTGTGGAACGGACAGGTGGGTTCACTAGCATTTGTCTTAGGAAATGCAGGGCAGGAAATGGAGGGGGAGAGGACGCTACAAAGGAACGAGGGCAGGAAGAGCAGAGGGACGGTGGGTTGTGGGCAAGCCCCCACCCAGGGGCAGCTCAGCTGGGGGGTCTCCTGCTGTCCCCCTGCGAGGCCCAGCTCATGGCTGCAAACGGCCCCGGGGGGGGGGTCTGGCACGCCCCACCTGCGCCTCACTCAGACATAAGGACCCTGCAGACGGGAGAGAAAGCCGTGCTCTGGCTGCCAGGGCTGGGCCGGTCCCAGGGTCAGTGCCCCGCGCCTGGGCCACCCACCCCATCTTGTCAGGACATGGGCCAGGGCCACGTAGATCTTGGAGAGGATGATGATGAAGGCCAGGTTCACCACCGACCCCGTGAAGCTGGCGACGTGCGAGGCCGGACGGGAGTTGGCGGGTCAGAGTGCAGTGGGGGATGGGTGCTCCAGAGCCTTCCACCCACCAGCTGGGCAGGTAGAGGCTCACCCAGGCCGCGAGGAGGGTGTTGTCCGACCCGGACATGACGATGGCCATGATGGCCCGGTACAGGATGATGGACACAAGGCACATGATGACCACGGCAACCTGTGGGGCAGCCAGATGCTTGAGCCCCCATGCAGAGCCCTGATACCGCTAAACCCTCTGAACCAGGCTGTGTTCTATGCCCCTTCCTGGTGGAGGGCGGAGTGGGGGAGGGCGGGGAGGAAAGGCATTCAGAATAGAGGGTGGGCATCTCTGGGTGTCAAGGAGCCACTGTACACTGTTCTTGGCCCTAGATGCTGGAGAACCATCCGTCCTACCCCCACCCTGCCCCCTCACCAAGCAAACACTGGGAATTGCTAACACTTTGGAGGGGGAGGGAGGTTGGTCCCGTCAGGAAGCCCTTGGGCTGGAAGGCGAGGCAGGGTGTGGTGGAGCCCTGTGCTGGGGGAAGGATGCCCCAGGCCTGCCTCCACGGGGAAACCTTCCCAGAGCCCCCTGCCTGGCCCGCACCCGCCTCTTGCAGCCTGGACCCCCTAGCTTGACCCCAGGCTTGGTCCCCTCTCCGGAGCCCAGGCACCCAGGGGCCTTTCTGGGGGCTGTGAGAGTCTTGTGGGTCACGGAGGAGGCATCAGGCTCCCGGCCTCCAGGGGAGAAGGGGTGACAAAATGTGCCCCACATGGTCCGGAGGAGGAAGAGAGCTAAATGTAGGGGCACCGACAGGGAGGGAGGGGAGGCCAGGGCCACGGGGGTCCCTTACCATCATCACGACCACCATGGAGCCTGCCAGCACTCGGCGCAAGCGGCTCCTCTCTGGGAAGTAAGGCTCGTCCTCACCAGTGATGGGGTTCAGGGCTGTCATGGGGGCGGAGGCGGCAAACTGGGGCCGAGGCCTCCTCTCCTGGAAGGGAGCCAGTGTTCAGCCGCGGCCCGCACGCGGGGGAGAGCGACCCCTGCCGGGGGACCCACCTCGATGTCGTCGTAGTTGGAGCAGCTCCACCGGGAGGCCAGTGTGGCGCTCTTGCGCTTCCAGAACTCCAGGAGCAGCAGGGCCCACAGAGCCATGAACAGGCTGAAGAAGACGGTGCCTCCGTGGTCGAAGAGCCGGCCAACCTGCAGCGGGGGCGGGGCGGGGCGGGGTGTCCAGCTTGCTCGGGACTCGGGGCCCCTTCAGCCCCAGGGAGTTTTCCCCTAGGGAATGGCAATGCCTATCCTCGGCCTGTGCGGCACGGTGCTTGGAAGCGGGTGGCTGGTTCCCGGGTGCCCGGGGCCACAGATTGGGGGGATGCTGCCCCTGGGGAGCCCGCATCACCGCGCCTGAGACGATTTAGGGGATGAGACGCGGGACTGTCAGAGCTGGTGAGATTTTTGGACTCAGAGTTCATGCAGTAACGGGTTGAGATTTGGGGGGATATTGGGTGGCGATGAATGTATTTGGCATATGGGATGGACATGAAATTTTGGGGGCCAGAGGGTGGATTGTAGTGGATTGAATTGTGGGCCCCAAGGGAGATCTCCACCTGGAATCACAGAATGTAACCTGATTTGAAGTAAAGGCCTTTGCATCTGTAGCTAAGGTAAGGACCTCCCGACGAGAGTAGCCTGGACGGGGGGCCCTAAGCCCGAAGACAGATCCTTAGACAAGCAGGGGAAACAGAGCTGCACATGGGAAAGGCCAGGGAAGGTGGGGGCAGAGGTTGAAGGGACACAAGCCAGCCAACACCAAAGACTCCTGGGGCTCCCGCACACTAGGAGAGGGCACGGAACAGCTTCTCCAGAAGCCCCACCCCGCAGCACCTCGATCCTGGACTCGCGGCCTACAGGGCTATGAGAAAACAGGGTGCTGTTGTTTTAAGCCCCTCGGGTATGATCACTGGTGACAGCAGCCCTAGGAAGCCGGGTCAGATGGGGTCCCAAAAGTGTGCCAAAGTGTGTCTGGTCCATGGGTCCATCCTGGGCACCTGGGCTCCAGGCCCAGTGTGTGGGGGATGCAGGCAAGGCCATGAGGCCACTGTTCCTATGGAAAAGCTGACGTGCCCAGGTGGTGTGCGGGGCTCCGGGACTCCAAGGAGCCTCCTGGCTCCTGCTCAGTCTGTGCCCTGAGAGTTTCGGGGCTTGCCTGCCCTGGCAGGCCTTCCCGTTGACCTTGGCTGGTTATACACAACCAGAAGAAGAGAGCTAAAGGTAGGGGCAGCGATCCAGGCGGGGAACAGTGCCACAGAGGTTAGATAACTCACGGGGGTAGGAGGGAGTCTGCCTTCGGTGCTGACAGGGCTGGGGTTCTAGACGGGGCAGGACCAGAAGCCAGGGGAGCTGCCTTCCTCACCTCACCCACTCGGCTCCGTACCTGGACCAGGGTGCAGGCGCTGGAGAGCGGCCAGAAGGGGCAGCCCAGGCAGAGCGGGCACATCTCAAAGTTGTCCTCACTATTGCACAACTCCTGCCTTCTGGGCACAAGGGCGCGTTGCAGGAGTCGGGGGGGGCAGGCCCCCACCAGTCCCACCCCTCGCCCTCCCCCGCCCCACCACGGCCTTTGACAGGCTCAGCATTTCTTTAAAAAGTAGTTTTAGAATACAAGCAATGATAATTTTTGAGTTAACTTTTTGATGTTTTAGCTCCATAATGAAGTAAAAATCAAGCCTATTATAAGAAACTCTTATACTATTATAAGAAGGAAGGATGACTACCAATAAAATTAGCCCAGGAGCCCACCTGCCCACCTGTGTCAGCTTTGGGAGCCCACCTGCCCACCTGTGTGAGCCTGGGAGCCTACCTGTCCACCTGTCAGCCTTCCAACCAGGTCTACAGGAGGGCAGGGATGTGTTCAGTGCTCACCTCCATCCCCAGCTCTGTACAGGGCCTGGCACCTGTGGGTCCCCCAACCACACACCCCCCTCAAGAGACACAGGGCAAGTCCTGGGAGCTGAGAGGAGAGGGCACTTACGTGGGTATGTCTGAGAACACCAGGAAGCAGCCAACCAGGAACACCAGAGTGCCCACCGCCGCTGCCGGCAGGAGCCAGCCTGTGTAGAACCCTGCAGGGGCAGCACCAAGGTTGGCCATTGGGACTGGGTGGAGGGACCCTGGGAGTCGGCTATCTGTGCCCTGTGGGCCTGTGTAGCCAGCACTGAGCTAAGCACTGGGTGGGGTCTGCTCAGCCATGCTTGTCCCTCGGGTATCCCCATCCAGCCAGCAGAACCCGAGACCTTCTGGGAGGAAGCCGGCAAGGCACGGTGCTCAGGAGTGTCCCCTGGCAGCTCTGAGCCCAGCTCCTCCCTCCTGGCCTCTGCCCTGGTCTCTGGACCCCCTACCACTAACCCCCCGGGTCTCCTGGACATCCGCTTCCTAAGTCCCATTCGTCTCTAACCAGCACGCCCCGGATGGGCGTCCCGTCTGTGGGAGGCTCACAGCCCTCTGCATTCCAACCTGGGAGACAGACGGGGGTCCGTTCTGTATGCTTCCTTTCCCCCCGCACCCACCCCACCATGGCTAGGTCCCTCAGTTACCTCAATCCCTCCACCGGACACTCCACTGCCTCCCATGGGTCTAGCCCAGCCCCGCAGGGGGTTAGCAAACAGCTGGGGGTGGTGGGCGTGGCGCCAGTTACCCGTCATGTGGCAGCCGCGCAGGACCGTCCTGGCCCACTTACCTCCCGGCTGAGCCCTCTGCTGACAGTGACCCCACTGTGTGGGCCTGGCTCTTGCTCAGGTAGCCTCCCCCACACACCACAATCCCACTTTAGAAACGTGGAGACCTTGGCCAGATCCACTGGACTCACAGGAGTCGGGTCTGGATCTGAACCCAGGCCCTGGCCTTGCTCAGCCTGCTCCCAGCCCATCCTCTGGGCGGGAGTCAGCCTCCGTCTGGGCACCGGCATCAGGGGTGGGCACTGCCCCTGCCCCGGGGAGCCCACAAGGCCCCGTGCCCTTTGGCAGTCAGCAGGAGGCTTTCCTGGGCCGGCCTGTCCTCCCGTCTTCCCCACCACAGGCCACTGGAGCAGGCCACTGGAGCGGCCCATCTCAGGGATGCTGTGGCTGTGGGTCCATGCTGGCCCTCGGTCCCCTTCCCCGCCAACCAGCAGGACCCATGCCCACCTGGGCCCTGGGGTCCTGGAGGGGTGCTGAGCAGGGCCCCTGCTGTGCAGTGAGCTGGGGGTCAGCCTGGAGGCCTCCAGCCCTCAGCCCTGAGGGGCGCCTTGGTGCTCGGGTCACAGCAGAGCCTTCCTGTGTCCACAGAGGCCTCCATCCCCAGCTCGGGGACACAGCAGGGACCCCCACTCACAATTTGGTGCCTCTTGGTGCTGGGGAAGAAGGTGTCCTGGTTGTCACTCCCGAGGAACCTGTGGGGTGTGGAGCGCAGAGGTCTGGCACACGCACGGGAGTGCACGTGGGGGGCGCACACTCGTGGCTTCATCCCACGCCCTGCGGAACAGCCACCATCCTGGCAGCACCATCGAATCCTGTCTGTGCCTTTTCCTTTCTGGAGGAGGAGGTCACGGTAGGTTCTCCACACAGCACAGAATGCCCCCCCCCCACAGGGTGGGCAGAGGGCAATGCGGTAGGGGAGCCTTCCACGTGCCCCCCAAAGCTCTGAGCACAGGATCAGCGGCCTCGCGGGTGGTGTCTGGTGGTGGCCTGCTTGAACAGACGACTGACCCCAGGACCTTGGGAAGTCCCACAGGTGGAGGCAGGTGCGCACCAGGCTGGCATTCCCCCCAGGCCTGGAAGGAAGTGTTCTCAGCCTGGGCAGTGAGACCGCCTGGGAGTCCTCCATGCTGGTCACCGACGCTGGTCCCCACCACCCCCCGGACACTAGCCTTGTCCGCAGGCTGGTCGCACCTGCGTGGCTAGCTGGGGCTGTACCATGCACATGGACGGGGCCCCCTTCCGCTTCTGCCTCAGAGGCGAGGCGCCTCGGCCCCAACACCCTGCCCACCCGCCGTGGCCCTGTAGCTGAGCAGGAAACAGACCTGAGTGTCCGGCCAGGTTTGGGGGATGTTTGTCCCCCCGCACACCCTGCCTACCCCGACCGACGCAGTCCGTGCTTGCCCGCTGAGATGCATGTCCCCAGTTGGAAGCTCCAGGGAGGGAGAGAGCCAGTGGAGGGGCATCATGTTTGAGCTCACTCAGTCCCTGAGCCTCGCGTTCACGCCTTCAGCCGGTTCTTGCCCCGGGAGAGGCCCCAGTCTCACCTTGAACTGGCAGGAGTAATACTCAGGGGGCAAATCAGGCACGTCCTCCTGCAGGATGATGGGGATACCCAGCCACGCCAGCAGGCCCGCCGACCAGTTGGAGGCCTGGTTGGGCAGCTCCTGGAAAGGATCGTCACTCGGCTCCCGCTCTTGAGCGGATGCTGATGCGGACGCCGACACCATGCTGCGGGGTGGGGGTGTGCGGGTGTGCCGAGCGGGCGGCAGGTGAAGGGCTCCAGCGGAGGGAGAACCCCTGTCCTCCCCTGCCGCCCCCTGCCCTGCCGCGGACCCTGTGGGGAGAGGCCAGGCCAGCCCCTGCCCCTCTCTGGGCCTCAGGCCCCAGGACTGCCCTGCTGGTCAGTTTGAGGCCAGAGCCCCTCCAGCAGGAAGAGACAAGAGGGCAGCCACGTCTCCGTCCACGCCCACACCACGAGGCTCAGAGGGAGCCGGCAGAGTGGGCAGCACAGCGGCCCCCAGGCGGGTCATCCTCAGGTCACCTGGAAGGTGCCCCCTCCCCCGCCCTGTGACCCCTGGGTGGAGGGGTGGTCTGCGCCTGGAGAAAGCGCACACTCCCTGAGCCCACCCTGGCTGTCCAGCCAGGCTTCTTGGGGCGCAGAGATGGGGGGAAGGACCCTCAGGGACACTGAGTGGGGAGGCTCCAGGGTTGTCGGCATTGTGGGGGACCCCTGGGCCCCCCCGGGCACCTGCAGGGGCAGCTTTAGGCGCAGGTCCTCCGCGTAGCAGCAGAGCACGGCCCAGGGGGCGCAGAGAGGAGGACGTAGTGCACGGCGCCCTCCTCGTCCTGGACGTCGCGCTGCGGGGACGAAGAGCTCCGTGAGAGCCTGAGGGGCGTGTGTGGGGGTGTCCGTTCACACTCCTGGGGAAGGCAGATGCCTCCCTAGCCATGGTAACAGCTCCCCAGCACTGGTGATAACGCTGTTGGATAAATGGCACCTCTGATCGCTGAGCCGGCAGGGAGCACGGCCGTCGGGAGGTCAGCCCATCGGTCACAGACAGGGTCGGGATGACTGCTAGGCCTCGGGGACCCACGCCAGCCACGCCCTCTGGGACCAGCGTGAGGGCACGGGCTGCTTGCTCAGAGACCGCCTGCCCTGCCCCCTCTCCTGACTTAAGGAGGCACTTGAGTCAGCCTTTGGTTTGCAGATGGTGAATGACGGCCTTGGCCTTTGACGAGCCACTGGGCATCCGTGTTATGTGTGGACGTGTGGAAGTGTGCACATGTGTGCCAGCGGGCAGGCATGACTCCTCACGTGTGTGTGCATGTGTGCAGATGTGTGGCAGGCACTCCTGGAACCTGAGACAGGGACTTGCAGCCCCTCTGCCCCACGTAGGCTGGGTTCCAAAACTCCTCTCTAACCTGGTGGCTGTCAGGCCTCGCTGCATCACAGCCGGCTGTCTTTCCTAAATGCGCACACCCAGGCCCTGTCCGGGGCCCACTGCAGCAGACAGGCCTGGGGCAGGGCGGGCTCGGCGCTTCGGGCACCCCCAGCTGGTTGTGCTATGTGCTGAGGACTGCCCTCCAGACTGACCCCTGATGTCCCCTGTGCCAGTCCTCCAGTGACCCCCATTAAAGAGAAGCCCGCCCATCTGGATGAAGGTTCTGTAAACTCATGTGGCCACGCAGATGAGCCACACTGTCCCAAAAGCTTTTTGCATAATAAAGGGGGGGAGCATCTTTTCATCCCCACCCACCAGGCTGTCAATTGGATCCAAACCCCAAGGGGAGGGGTGTTGTCTCCTGACCCCTACGATCCCACTGGGTATATGTCTGTCTGCAGCTCCGGCCCTGTGAAGGGGCGTCAGGGGTGGGGAAGGTGAGCACATCTGCTCGTAAAAGGGGCTCAAGGACGCAATCGTAAAGAGGGGTGCATTCACACGGGGGGTCCTCTGAGCAAGGACGACGGCCCAGCAGCGGCTGCACCAAGTACAGAGGGTCATCTCAGAAGCACGGCCCCGGGGGGGAGCTGCGCTGAGCACAGTCCCGTTCTATCAAGTTCAGACAAATAAAACTAAGCTGCATTGTTTGCAACATCAAATCGGTGCCAAGATGATAAAGACACGTGAAAATGTGATGAATGTCAAATCCAGGGCTGGTTTACTCTGGGCAGGGAGAGGACACCTGATGGCAGGGCCTGTGCCCGGGGGCCGGCGGAGGGCGGAGGGAGGGGTGGGTGAAGGACACATGGCCGAGGCCTCAGGGACGAGGCGACGTGAAGGATCTGGGGCACGAGCGAGGCCGGCGAGGCCTCAGGGCTGCATCCCCCACGGGCCCAGACCCACCGTGCAGCCACACGCGCCCTGCGGCCGCTGTTGCCGAAGACACCGTCCAGGCAAGGGGCCGCTTTAGCTGCTGAGCTCTCACCACGGGGGCTACACCTGGACACACCTACGCAGACTAATGGGGAGGTGGGTCTGAAGGGCTCTGGCTCCCAGGTGCAAGCTGGGCATGCGGGGGTGGGTGTCGTGCTGGCCTGGGGTCAGTGGTTCTGCGGCCAGAGGGAGCTCGCCGAGGGTGGGGCACCAGCAGGACTTTGGGGCCTGGCTTGTTCCGGGGTCTGGACCCCACGTCCTCAGGCCTTGTCAGGAAGGTCATGGGTCATCGAACAGATGCAGAGCCCACCGCTGACCCTAAGTACCTGGTCCACACGCAGCCCAGCTGCACGGAGGTTATCTAGAAAGGCCTCCCTCCAGGCCGCGTGTGTCTGTCTTGTCCCCGGTGGCACTGTCCTGCTGCCGACCCAGCCTCAGGTCTTCCTCCCAAACGAGGACGAAGTCTGCTGGGAACCAACAGGGACAGAAGTCAGGCTGGCATCCCAGCCAGACGCTTAGCTTCCAGGTGGGGAGTAGGAGCCAAGCTCTCGGACCCTTGACCTGCTGCTCTGTGTCTCCCTCCCAGCCCTCGCTCTGGCCCCGGTCAGGGCTGGGAGGGCTCCAGGAGGGCACTGCAGACAGGAGGGGCTGCGGAGGGGCTGGGGCCTGCTCCTGGCTCTGCAGGTTAGTCCCAACCCCCCCCCCCCGGGGTCTTTAAGGACTCTGAGTGCAAGTCACCATCAGAGTTCCCTCCCTGGGATAGAGAACTGTAAAGGCTGGACAAAATGTGGGAAACCCCTGCTTTTCTGGCAAGAAGGATCAACACACCACAAGTGGTAAATAAATAGGTAAGTATCAAAGTAAAACTATTTCTATTTACAGATGACATGACCTTGTATATAGAAAAATCCAAAGGATTTCGCTACGAAATTATTAGGACTAATAACAGGTTTTTTCAAAGTTGCAGGAGACAAGATCCACATGTGGAAATGCATTGGGTTTCTATACGCTAGTGATAAACAAGCTTAAAATGAAAGGAGGGAAACCACTTACATTTATAACAGCACCTCAGATAAAATACTTACAAACAAATTTCACAAAAACTATGCAAGACTTATACTTTGAAAACCACCAAACATTGTTAAAATAAATGGAGGACCTAAAAAAATGCAAAGACATCCCATGTGCATGAATCAGAAGATCAATATTATAACAATAGCATTGCTCCTGAAATTAATCTGCAGATTCAATATAATCCTTACCAAAATCCCAGCTGGGTTTTGTTGTTGTTGTTTTTGTTTTTTTCAGAAAATGACAAGTCTAAAATTCATTTGGAAATACAGGAGACCCAGAATGAAAGAAACAGTGTTGACAAAGAAGAACAAAAGTGTAGGACTCACTTTTTGACTTCAAAACTTACTATGAAACTAGAATAACCAAGACAGTGTGATACTGGTAGGACAGACATCCAGAGCAATGAAATATATTTGAGATTCTGAAAAAAAACCCATATATTTATGGTTAATCCATTTTTTTTTTTTTTTACAAAGGGGGTACTACAATTCAATAGGAAAAAAATAGTGTTTTCAGGAAATGGTGCTGGGACAAGTGAATATCCAGATTGAAAAGAATGAATTTGGACCCCTACCTCACACTGTACACAAAAATTAACTCAAAGTGGAGTTACAATTGTAAGATGAAGATCATAGACATGAGTAAAAGAACCAAAATGATAAGGCTCTTAGGAGGAAACAGTTGTATATCTTCATGACCTGGTTTAGGCGATGATGTCTTAGATAGAGCTTAGCAGGAAGAGAGAAGACTGAGGGACTTCATCTAAATTAAAAAGCTATGTGCTTGGGGTGCCTGGGGGGCTCAGTCATTTAGCGTCTGCCTTCGGCTCAGGTCATGATCTCAGGGTCCTGGGATCGAGCCCCGTGTCAGGCTCCCTGCTCAGTGGGGAGTCTGCTTCTCCCTCTCCCTCTCCCCCTGCTTGTGTTCCCTCTCTCATTGTGTCTCTCTCTGTCAAATAAATAAATAAAATCTTAAAAAAAAAAAAAAGCTATGTGCTTCACAGTAGCCAAACTGTGGAAAGAGCCAAGATGTCCGTCGACAGATGAATGGATAAAGAAGATGTGGTATATATACACAATGGAATATTATGCAGCCATCAAAAGGAATGAGATCTTGCCGTTTGCAACGACGTGGATGGAACTGGAGGGTGTTATGCTGAGTGAAATAAGTCAATCAGAGAAAGACATGTATCATAGGACCTCACTGATATGAGGAATTCTTAATCTCAGGAAACAAACTGAGGGTTGCTGGAGTGGTGGGGGGTGGGAGGGATGGGGTGGCTGGGTGATCGACATTGGGGAGGCTATGTGCTATGGTGAGCGCTGTGAATTGTGCAAGACTGTTGAATCACAGACCTGTACCTCTGAAACAAATAATACATTATATGTTAAAAAAAAAGAAGATAGTAGGAAGGGAGAAATGAAGAGGGGGGAAATCAGAGGAGGAGATGAACCATGAGAGACTATGGACTCTGAGAAACAAACTGAGGGTTCTAGAGGGGAGGGGGGGGGGGGGATGGGTTAGCCTGGTGATGGGTATTAAAGAGGACACGTTCTGCGTGGAGCACTGGGTGTTATATGCAAACAATGAATCATGGAACAGTACATCAAAAACTAATGATGTATGGTGACTAACATAACATAATAAAATAAAATTAAATAAAAAAAGAAAGAAAAAAAAAAAGCTACATGCTTCAAAAGCACCACCAAGAAAGTGAAAAGTAACCCAGAGAATGGGAGAAAATATTAGCAAATCATATATCTAATAAGGAACCTGTATTCAATATATATAAAGAACTTTTCAACTCAACACTAGAAAGACAAAATAGCCCAATTTAAACATGGGCAAAGATTGTGAATAGCCGTTTTTCTACAGAAGACAGACAAGCGGCCAATAAGCTGCTGAAAAGATGCTGGGTGTCATCAGTCGTGAGGGACTTCGGGATCAGAACCACAGGGAGGCGCCACGTGGCCCTCACCCGGCTCATCAGACAGACAGTAGGAGCGCTACAGGGATGGTGCCGAGAAACTCCGGCGGTTTGCGAGTGGAAAACAGTTGGGCGGTTTCTCGAGAGCGTTCAACCTCGAGTTACCATATGACCCTGCCATCCCCCAACAATCCCCTCAAAGGCACGTGCCCCAGGAAAGAAACGTGTCCCACGAAATCTGGGGCACGAATGTTCACTGCCGCTGCGTTATTCACATGAGCCACCAGAATATCCATCACCAGATCCTTCGGGGAGACACCTACAAGCGGGGTGGCCGGCTAGCCGGGTGGCTCCAGGTCTCATTTCCAGGACCCGCCGCCTGGCTCTCCACACGGGCTCCCACTCCCGCCAGCAACGCCCGGGGGTCCAGCTTCCGCACGTCCTCGCTGACGCTGGTTATTTTGTTTTGTTTTATTACTTGTAATAGCCGCTGTCCTAACGGGTGTGAGGTGCGGGCGCGAGGTGCGGGCGGCAGCGGGCAGCCCAGGTGCTGGGAGGGGTGGGCAGGAGAGCAGGGCGCGGCCCCCCTGGAGCCCCTCCAGCCCCGCCCCCTCGGGAGGGACCCCCCTCCCTGCCGGCTCCAGCTCCCTGGCCGTGCCCTGCGCCCCGCCAGGCCCTTGCCCCACCCCGGGCACGGCAGCTGGCCCCAGAGCCGGTGCGGAGAGAGTCCTGGGGGGGAGGGGTGGCCTGGTTACTAAGGGATGGTGACCGGCCACCACCCGTGGGCACCCCATCTGTGTCCCCACCCCCAGGACTAACTTGGGCACAGCTGTCAGGCACTGGGAGCGGCTTACCTATTTGGGGCTTGGAAGGGCTCCCCACCCTGTGGGCGGCCTCCTTGTGTCCATTCAGCTGGAAGGAAAGAAAAAGGCATGGCAGCATTCTGACCCTAATGACTCCTCCACATTCTGCCCCCCCCCCCACTTCAGGCGTCCCACCCCGCCCCGCCAGACACAGAGGGACGAGCAGAGAACGCAGACACCGAGTGTGGGCAGAGCGGCTCCCAGACGCAGGCATGTCCAGGGCTGAGGCCAACCTCATGCCCCCTCCGGCCTCCCGAAGGCCACATGGGCCTCCAGGCACCTGGCTGGGCTGTGGGCAAGGGTCAGGCTTGTAGGTGACATGGGCAGGAGCACAACTGAGGGCATCCAGCAGCTGGAGGAGAGCCAGACAGCCCCCGAAGTGGCTCTGCGCATAGGCCAGAGGCGGTGATGGCGCCAGAGGGTTTCTAGAAGGTCCAGGTGACCCCCGGGCAGGTAACAAAACACCGTGGACATAGCTGACATCCTTCATCCCTCCTTTGGGGCAGGGGCTGTCGGGGAGTTGCCCCCCTCCCAGGCCACTTCCATGCTTTGCACACGTCAGAACACAGCATCTGAAGGAACATCTCTGCGTTTAAGCTTCAGGACACGATATGCGTCCCTCCAGCTAGCTCTCCTTCACGCCGGTGGGACCTGGCCTGGCCCAGCCTGAGCCTGGCCTCTCGCCTAGCCTGTCCCTGGGCTTGTCTGCATGTGCCCCAGGGCCGGTGAGCTGGGTGGTGACCTGGGAGCCTCTCCCTTCCTTTCACCGGGGCAGCTCGAGGGCACAGGAGGTCTGGGCACTGGGTGAGGGCGGCGGGAAGACGCCGTGGCCATGGGCGCTGGGTCCACGCCCACAGGCTGGGGGCCCTAGCTGGGGCCGTTGTCTTCCAGGTCCCTGAGTCTCACTGGGGGTTGGGGGCTCAGGCCCAGGCAGGGAGAGACCCTCCTAAACCCACAGCCGACTGTGGGCCTGGGCCCCAGGGAGGGGAGGCGACAGGCTGCCTCCTGAGCTCTACCTCTGAGGTGTGGGCTGTGCTCTCGTACGAGTCGCCACTCTCGGAGCCGAGGGCCATGTCACCAGGATGGTACTGTCCTCCTCCCGGGCCTGGCTCCGCAGCACCCTGCTCCTGCACCCCACAGCCCAGGTGGGCCCGTGAGACGTGGTCCCCATATTACCACGCAGCCCACGTGAACCCGCTTCCCCGGGGAGGGCACAGGCTGGAGCCGTGGCCAGGGCAGGTGCCAGGCTGAGCTGTCCCACCTGGAAGCACAGGACGGTCCCCCACATGGGCCTCCAGCTCTGAGAGCAGATCAAGGACAAGGAGGGAGTGTTTGGGAGGTTTGGCCCAGCAGCTGTCTGTCTGTCCACCTGTCCAGTGTGTGCCTCCCTCCCTCTCAGCCCTGTCTGGGGTGGTGGGGCCTGAGGGGGCCCAGAGGGGTGGGCTCAGCGGCCCCCTCTTCTTTCTGCTCCCCTGCAGGAGGAGCAGATGATACTCTTTAGTAGAGACAAGACCTTGGCTCCTCCTGGACCATCGGGGAGGCTGGCCTGGCCACGTTGCCGCTGCGTCCTCCCCACCCGATGCCTCTGCTCCAGTCGACAGGTTGGCACAGTGCGGCAAAGAGCAAGAGGGGCGCTGTGGCCTGGGGGGGGTTGAGTGGGGGCCGGCCATCTGCCCCAGCACAAGCGATGAGGGCCATCGCCAGCCCCGGAGGCTGGGAGGGCACGAGGCTGAAGGAGCCGCAGGGGGTTGGCGGGGACAGCTCATGGAGGCCAGAGAGTCTGAGGCCCAGAGAGGCAGAGATGTGAGCCCGCAGCTCCGGACTGTCTTCCAGGTTCCAGACGGCCCGGAGCCAGGGCTTGGCATCATGACACCGTCCCGGTACAGGGCCAGTGTGCGTCATGCGGCACTCCTGGAGGGATTCTCAAGAATTTGAAGTCAGCTAGCAGCCTTTGGTGCTGCTGAACACCCTCTGCTGTGGTGTGGGGGTGCGGGGGTGCCCCCTTCGGAGCGCTCTGTGCAGAGAGGACAGGGACAGAGGACGCCCCAGTCACAAAGGCCACAGAAGTGACCTGCTCCACGGTGGGCCCACTGGACAGGTGGGAAAACTGAGGTTCCCTAGGATTGGAGGTGCTCTGCCCAAAGGCACACTGAGCACCTGGCGTTTCTCATCCTCCCCCAGGGCCAGGCAGGCCTCTGGGGCACGAGGGTGAACCCACAGTTCAGGGCATTGGGAGCCCTGATGGGCTGGGGTTGCTCACCCAGCCTCCCTGGAGTCCATCTCCCCACCTCCCTCCCCGTGGCCCCTGCATCATGGAATGGGTTCCCACCTGGCACGGCGGCTTCCGGAAGAGGCCTCCGAGGTCATGGACACCCTTTCAGCACGAGCCTGGTCTGGGCAGCTGAGTCTGGGCCAGACCTGTAGGCAGAGAACTGGGAGGGACTGTGTCCTCGTGGCCCTGCCCAGGTGGGGCTGGCCACACACATGTCCTCACCTTGCCTGGCAAATGGGCAGGAGAGGGGCCTGGCGTAGCCGGCTGGCTGGGGGCAAGGTCTCCCCAGCTCCTGGAACAGGATCTGCCTTTGTTTGAGAAGGGGGTATGGGGCTCTGGGTCTGCAAACAGGGGCAGCCCATTTTCCTAGAGCCTTTCCACCCCACACGCAAATGCCACGGTCCTTCCAGCAAAGGACACCGCTCATCTTTCTCCCCTGACTTCCTTAGGGGGGTCGGCTGCTGCTGTGGAGGGCTCGGGAGCGTTGGCGTCTGGCAGGGGCAGCCGCAGCGGGGTCGCCGCCACCTCCGCCTGGTGGGCCGCCCCTCCGGAGACATAGCCAGTTCTGCCGCTTCCTGGGTGTGACCTCAGGGTCCATCTGTGAAACAGGGTGCAGCCCTGCTCACTGCAGGGAGGGGTCCCCCTCCGTCCTCCCCACAGCACTGCTCTCTTGGGGCCCTCTTGTGCAAAACCCCGGAGTAGTGCCGTGGTCTTGGCTGCATCTCTGACCCCCATCCCGCTCCCAGGGAGACCCTGCGCAGTGGGTCGGGGCCCAGCAGGGACACCCTGAGCTGGAGGGTCCGCACTGAGCTCTCTGTCTGGGGTCCCCGAGATGGGTTCCCAGGTACCGACTGCACTGGGGATGCTCCAGAGCCGGGAAGCGGGGTGAGGCAGGTGGAGGGAGGAGAAATACCTGCAGGGGGCCTCAGCCTGATCCCACAGGGCCTCTGGACAGGAAGGGGTGGCCCGGAGATTTCCCAGCCTGAGACAACTCTACACTCTGGCCGCACTGTGAAGGGCCCAGGAAGAGGTCAGCTCCGGGGGTTCCCGGCACTCTGCTCACGGTGGCCCCGGGGATGTCTGCTGGGGAAGAGCGGCGGGGCGGCCGCTGGGGGCCACCGCTCACCGCAGCTGGAGCCATGGAGGCCACGTGCACGCAGGACACCGGAGACAGCACTCATCCCGGCGGAGAGCTGAAATGTTTACTTTCTACAACGTTTTATGGTTTGACATTGTTTCAAGCTGCATTACTTTTGCAGTTTTTAAAAGTTAAGAAAAGGGAAAAAAAAGCAAGGAAGCTACCAGGAGAACAGGTGTGTTGAGTCCCAGGTGCGGGGAAGAGCCCAGGCCCCGGATCTGCTACACCAGGCTTTTTGACGATAACTTTTTATATCCATTTGTGTAACACTAAGAAATACGTTGGTGGAAGTGGGGAAAAAAGCCTCCAACTGTGGCTTAACAAAACAGCTTTTCCTCACCTCAGCAGACCCAGCAGGCCCAGCCGCTAAGTCCAGGTTCCCGGCCCCGAGCCGGCCGCCCCGGCCCTTGCCCTCAGGACAGCAGGTGCGTCGGGCTAAACGTGAGCCCCAGGCCGCCGGCCGCCAGGCAGCCTGGAAGGGAAACAGACCCCAGGGGCTGGGGTAGAACCAGTGCGCCTCCCCGCCGGGGGTGGGCACCTGGCTGGTCCCAACACAACCACTGGGCTGAGAGGTCCTGGTAAGTGACTGCCAGCCAGGGGCGCCGCTGCTCCCCAACATTCACCTGCCCTGCACCCAGTCTGAGGGGTGGGCCTTCTTCCTGTGCCCCACGTGCTATCCCCCTCGCTCAACCCCTGGCCTCGGGACCCGGCCCAGACCCGCGCCCCCTAAACACCCCCTCCGCACAGAGCAAGCACCCTCCCGCGGGCGGCCGCCTGGTCCACGCCCCGCCATTCCGGCCCCATCCTCGCTGCTGGCCTCTTGCCACAGTAGGCGTCTGCGTGCCTGGCCCCCGCCCTGCCCCTCCTCAGGGTGCCTCCCCTGCCAGGAAACCTCCCTGCTCCTCCTCCCTCGCGGCCTCCACGGGCCGCCACAGCTAGGTCCCCACGCGGGCTCTTCCCGCCAAGGGCCCCACACCCACGGGTTGGGGTTCCTGGCCCTCCTCTGCGGGTCCCCCTTCTGGGATGCTCTGCCAGAGGCTCCCCTCTCCCCGCCCTCTACTCGGCCGCCTCCTCTCTGCTGCCCCCTCAGCCTCCTTCCCCCCACCCCCAGGGTGGGTCTGCCCCTCCTCAGGGTCACCCCACCCCTGCTGCCAGTGAGCCTGTCCACGCGCTCTGCTTTCTTCCGAAGGGCAAGTCACCTTCTATTGTCTATGGTTGTCGCTTCATCTACGCCCCCCAGGGCAGGGATTTTTTTTAAATCTTAAAAAAATAAAAGGCTTGTTTTGTTCCTTGATGTAACCCAAGTACCTCAAAGGATGCCGAACCCCCCCTGTAGCCAGGCTTTCCCACACTTTATTATTCATTCCACCACCTCTGCCCCTCCAACCCCTCCCCCCAGGCGGTGTCTTTGCTTGGGGTTGTTTCAGACCTTGGAGGGCTGTTCCCTCCCGTCTGCGTGCGCCCCTGCGGAGCCCTCTCCCATGGACATGTGGTTTCTGCGGCCGTGGCCTCCTTGGGTTTCCGAGTGGGCACTGTGGCTGCTTCCTGCTGAGGAGCACGTACTGAGGTGCCCAGGGCTGGGTGCGGGGTTTGAGGCTCAGGTGCCCCTGGGGTCCCTCCCCTCCCTCCAGGGACACCCCGCGCTGGGAGCTTTCTAACCGGCTAATTTTGGGTAGGCGCACAGGGACGGCCCCTTTCGCAGTGTGTGCTTCTCGATGGCGGCGTGGGGGAAGCGGGGGGCCTTGGCCCTCTGGCTTCCCTGACATGCCTCCTCTTGCCTTGGGCCGGTTTCCATCAGGGTTCTTCGATGCGGCGTTTGCCGGTTGTACACACTGTGAGCATCTTCATTTGCATCTGATCTACTCTTGGCGTTCCGTGCGCTACCGAATTCCACTTCTGTGTGAAGGAACCCATCAAAAGCCCGTCTTGCGGTCCTGCTTTGGGAGGCCCACAGCCCCTCCTCTGATGTTCCCGTTCACACCGGGGCTTCTGACCCTCGGACTTGGCCCTGCAGGGGACGTCCTGCCCACGGCGCACCAGGCGCCTCCCCAACCCGGTCTGCAGCCTTCGGGATCCAGCAGGAAACTGCCTCTCTTGCCTCTTGTCCAAAGTCATTCAAGGCTCAGCGTTGGTTTTAGGGTTCAGTGGATGGCACGCGACTGGGACAGCGCTGGGTTCAGCACCTCGTGCCCCGCCCCCTCCACCCCCGAAGTTTCCTGTCTGTGACGCACAGATGCGCTGGGCAAGCGTCTGTGTCCCATCCCCATGAGGACAGGCCTGCTGAGAACCTTCTCTTACTGTCCTGTTTGCTCGAGGCTCTTTGGGTTTCTTTTCCCACCCATGAGGAAACAACTGTTCTGTTAGTGGCGACCGTCAACATCTGGCCTCCCGCGCACCGTTTATAAGCGATTGCTCCCTTTCCTTGCTCGTGCCACACAATCTCTGCAGCCACCGGCCACACTCTGCCTCCCAGATTAAAAAGCGATGCCCTCGTGGCTGACGTCACGCCATCTTTCCGGGGCACGGGCACGTCCCTCCCGTGCGTGGGCCAGAACGCCATCCCAGCTCCGCAGAGGTCTCCGCAGGCCCGTCACCCGCACTCCTGCAGGTCTCCGCCTTGTGCTCGGATGCAGGGCTCCCGGGAATAATGCTTTCAGCAAGGGCATTCCAATCCTGAATCCTGGGGTCTAAACTTTCTTCTGCGACCTCTAGGACCATCATCCCAAGGCCCTTTCTGGGCCCATGCCCTCCCACCCCCGTGTTCGCCGTGTTTGCTTTCTGTAGGCAGGTGCTCCTGGCTTCAGGCCAACTACTGCCACATCCACAACTCCTGCGAGGGGTCACCCTGTCGCCCGGGGACCTCTGACCTGCTTGGGCTGCTCATGAGAATGGAAGGGGGAGGGCTGCCCCTGGCGAGATGCAGCCACTGAGCACCTGGAATGTGGCAAGTGCAACCGAGGAGGTGAATGCTTTATTTCATTTTATTTTAACACATTTAAATTTGAATTGAAGCAGCCACACGTGGTGGTAGGCGGCCCCCGTACTGGACGGTGCCACTCTAGAATCTTGGAGAAGGGACCCACGGTGACCACTCGATTCAGTCCTCTTTCTGCAGAAGGGAAATCTGAGACCCCAAGAGAGGCTAAGGTCCCCGCAGCATTAAATTCAGACCCCGGGTGACTGTCGATGTAAATCTTCTAAGAAACAAGCCGGCACAAGGACGGGGTAGGACTGGGAAGCGACGTTAGAGGCTGTCAAGACGTAAGCTCTTTGGAGCAGGTCTTGAGCAGAGCCTCGGCTGGGTTTGCGCTGTCAGTGGCACCGCACGGCCAGGCGCTCGGGCAGCGGCCCCTCTGGAGCTCATGGGCAGCCCTGGCCTCGGAGAGCCGCGGACGGGTGGGATGGGCGGCCTGGGCAGTGGTCGGCAGGGGGCCTGGCGCATGGCCATGGCTGTCGAGGAGCCCAGTGGGTCGCAGCACACGGGACCCCGCGATCCTGCGCCCACGGTTTTGTTCTGAAAATCGTTATGATTAGAAAAACCCTGGCGTCACCTGGTCTATAAGACCAAACAGGTCTGGGCTGCCAGGCCGGCCCCCGAGTGCCCCCACCCCAGGCAGCGTCCTCACCCCCACCAGCCCGCCCGTCTCTGGAGGAGGAAACAGACGTGGCGGGAGCGCCACGGGCATGACAACACCAGGTGGCAGCGTACGGGCCACAGTGTCCCAAAGTGGCGCGGGCGTCACACACGGCAGTTATCACTCAGTGCCTTTTTATTGCCATTGGGTTTGTGACTGCTGATAGAGTGCCGGCTTGAGGAGCAACGGGTGGATAAAAACCGTGGCTGGGAAGTTCTTGTGAAGAGAGGGACCTGGCAGGAGCCAGGAGGACTCAGAACCTGACGAAGGTGGCGTCGATCTGCCGCACTGAGGGCAGGGCCAGCATAATCTTCCGCCGGTACTGGGGGTCCTTCTGCAGGGGGTTCCGCTCCAGGTACACCGTCTCCAGGCTCTTGGCCGCTTTCAGCTCATCGAGGTCGCTCCAGCTCTCAAGGAGATTGTCGTTCATCTGGAGGACACGCACACACATTAGGAAAGCCTCTAGGACAGAACAGCCCCGGGCCTCCTGGCCCCACATCTGAGCAGGAGCCCACTGACACGCTCCAGTCCTCCCCACTCAGAAGACAGCCAGGTGTCTTCCCCGGAGCCTCCTGGTACCTCCTGGCCACCTTCCAGCAGCACCCCAAGGGGAACGCTCTTGCTCACGCCCAGAACTTGGGCCACATCACCAAACAGGGGCGAATCCAAGTTAAGATCAGCAGAGAAAAGACAAAGCCACACCGCTTACAAGCCCCGCCCCATCTCTAGGCAGAGTGTTAAAGCAGGTTCCACTGTACTTCCTACAAACCAACGTGGTGGTTGTTTCCAAGGCCTGACTGAGTGCTCTGACCCTAACACGGCCAGCACAGCAGAGGCCACGCCAACTAAATGTCCATCTGTCCTGTAAGCTGCCTCTGGCCTGTTCCACTAGAGGCACTGGTGGTGTCTGGGAGGAAAATGCCCCCCCCAACTGAGCTCCCACTGCCCACGTGATGTCCCCAGGATATAAAGCTGGACGAGGGGCTCAGAGGTCTGAGCTGTACTGCTCAAAGCAGTTAGGGTCCATCCTCCTGACCGTCACGGCCCACCTGGAGGGGACCTGCCAGAGATGGGAAGAGTTCTCTGACTTTTTAAACCACCGTCAAGACGAGGGCATGGCGGGCCTCTGGGTTCAGAGTGCCCGTCACAGCATGTGCCTCTGACCAGCTCAGCCGACACCTGTCCTGTGGATGATCATGGCTCCTCCACGGGGGGCAGGGCAGGGGGCTCAGAGAGGTGAGCCGCCCTGGTTTCTACCAGTTCCCAAAGAATACAGCAGAGGAACAAGTGAAAACAGATGGCAGAAGGGTCTCTGAAGGCAAGATGCACTAAGCGCCTGGCTGAAGGTGGAGGCGAGGGCTCAGGATGGGTACGCGTGTGAGGGGCTGTGTGGGCACGCGTTCAGCAACCAGCTCCCAGAGAAATCAAAAAGCCCTCACTTGTACTGCCTGCCAATTCCTGTGGTGTAAATACCCCGCCATGGCTGATTTCACGCTACCAACATCAGGTCCCTGACCACAGAGCTGGGATGAGGCACATAGCTCCGACGAGCGAGGGCAAGTGGGCTCCAGCCTGTCACTGCTCACAAGGGTTTTGGATGACAGGAACTTTAAATGAGGAGCAAGCTGAAGAGCTGCTGGGAGCATATGCGTCACTACCAGCTTTGCGTCTGCTGGTCTGATCCCCCAGGTCCAGTCGTGCCCGTTCTAGAAAGCATACTTGGAGAGATGGTGGCCCCGGGCCCCCCACGCACAGAGGCAGAGAGCAGGGCTGCTCCTCCCGAAGGACAGGGAGCAGACCTGTCCTCTGTGAACCTACGGTGGCAGAGGGTTTGTGGTGTCTTACCACTACTTTTTCTTAAGCATAGATCACATTTTCCTATTTGCATATTTAGTGATTTTGGATCAAACACTAGACATTGTGGATAATATGTTAAAGAGACTGGATTCTTTGAAGAGGGTTAATTTTCTGTTCTAACAAGCAACTTAATTACTGGCTGATCACCTTTGGGCTGTGTGGGTTTGGTGTCACACACCTTGTCAGGGCCCCTCTAACTTGGTGGGGACCAGCCTCCAAACTCCACCTCCTCTGGAGATATTCTTGAAGCCTGACTTCAGACTTTATTAGGGTGGGTTTGAAGCAGGTCAAATCTGAGCCTGTGGTCCTTACCCTCAGGAATGGCCTTTCTGGAGTCTAGCTGGATGCCAAGAGTATTGGCGAGATCCTTCTACTTGGGCAGGACTGAGGTGCCCTGCACCCCCAGTGGTGCTACTGGGTGAGCCTTGAGGGGGGCGGCCTTGTGCCCAGACTGCTCAGCCCTCAGCCATGGACTAACAGGGGATCCCCACATGGACCCTGGGGTCCCTTCTCTGCACAGCTACCCCCTGTCCAGGGCCGTGTCTCACCATAAACTTCGATCTCTGCTTCTTCAGCTCAACCGAACTGCCATGCTCTCCTGGGGACGAAGCCTGTGTGCTGCCCAAGCAGAGCCAAACCATCTTGGTGCTTCTCACAGCCAGAGGACTAGTCTGTGATCAGTTCCACAGCCACGGCCAGACGACTGTCTTTATTAACTTCCTGCGATGACATATACTTCCAGACCCAGCTGTATAAGGAGCCCTATTTTCACAGAATTTCTTGTGGGCCTCGTGTGCCACCAGAACCCAGGTTTTGGCCCTTGTGGAGGGACCGAGGACTGTGTCACAAGGGCCCTGACACCGAGAAGGCACTCTGCTGCCGGCCTGAGGGAGCGCCTCCCCCGGGAGGGGACACCGGAGGATAACTCTTTACGGACAGATTCTTAAGTGTTATTCTGTTAAGCATAAGTCTATCCACTCATACAACTTGAGTGGCTCATGTGGCCAGCTGCCAAGTGAGACGCTGTGGCTGTGCCGTCAAGGCCAGTTGAGAGAGAGTGCACTGAAGGGGAGAATCACTAAATGGCGCCTGTGCCTTAAAACACGCAAAATGTATATTCATTTAACAAAAGCATCATTAGGGCACTGTTTAGAAGGAAGAAGTATTTTTGTGGCGTAGTCTGCTTAGAGACGTCTCCCTGCCATCACGGGCAGCGGACTCCGGCGTGGAGCGCGCAGGGCCTCTTCTGTTTCACTATAGCTTCATTCCCATCTGCCACAGCACACGCTTCTGTCTCACACTGCGGGCCTGTCACTTGTCCGCGGCGCGGGGCTAGCTTTACAAACCCCAGATCTCATCACTTAGGATGAGCTGCAGCCGGGCCTCAGGGAGGTTTTCTCCAAGATTCAGGGAGTGCGGAACTGGAACTTTTACCACCGCCAGTGCAACACTGTAACAGCGTCTTTGATACAGTAACTTTTAGAGAGTCTTATCTTTGTATATTTCCAAAGTGGAACAGAAAACCATTCACTTGCATTGTTTCCATACACATTCCAGGGTCTCCTGAGTCCCTGGCGGGGCAACGATGTTACGCTCATGGAGGGAAAACTGATCGCCTTCATATTTCTTTTAAGTTCTTCACGACGGGATATAAAGGAGCAGGGCTTGGGTGGGACCCTTCCCTTCCTAGAGTATCTCCCCAGAAGGGGACAATTTTTAGCCTCTTTTAATCTAGAACATTTCCCACACTCTGTAGCATAATTCCAGTAGCGGATTCAGGCAACTCTCGTCACTGGAGAGCTAGATGTCTGCCGCGTGTCAAAGAATATTTGACGTTTTCCCAGCAGACTGCCCATGGTTATCAAGACCCAAACTTCACAGGATATATTTCCCCGCCTTACGATGGTTTTTTGGCTGCTATTTAGATAGAAAACATGCACTTAATTTCCCCCAAACTCAGTTATATCTTAAAAACAGAAACAGAGGTGTGGGAGAATTCTCAAGATTCATACACATTTCATACACCACTGGTAGAATATCAACATCACTTATTTTTTGAAAATCCGTAGGACATTTCAACAAGGAGACGTGTGCTTTGTATGGTGCTGGCGTCAAAAGAGGTGTCTGTTACTTCAGAGAATGGTAGGGACTCCGGAGAGAGCCAGAAAGAGCCTCCATGATAGAGGCCAGCCTTTTTATAACCCAGTCATGGAGGTGAAATCCTGTTGCTTCTGCTGTATTTTGTTTGTCAGTGAGGCCCGCACACACTCATGGGCAGGGTCACACGTGGGCACAGATGCTAAGACCTCGGGCGCCAGGGACACGCTATTGATTACCTCCCGTGGCTTCTACTGAGATTTTTTTTCTCCTTGTCACGGGTCACATTCTTCTGCTTCTTTGCACACTGAATACTGTGGAGGCTACATGACTTAGAGTTGGAGTTTTGTTGTCCTCCTTTAAAAAGCGGTGTTCTGGCAGAGCCTCTAAGTCCTGTGGAGGCTTGGTCACTGGCTCTGGGAGAGTGTTTATCTGCCCCTGATGGGTGGCTGTGCCGGCCTGTTGACGGAGCTTCTGGGGTGTTTGGCATCATCCCTCCGCTCTGGCAGGTCGAATGCCAGAGCCTCCACGTGCTGTATGGCGTCCGGAATCTCCACCTGGCCTCGAGTTCCTGCGGCTGTCTGCTTCTGGGACACACGAGCAGCTGAGTCATCGCGAGGGCTTGGTCCCTGTGCAGCAATCTCCCTGCTGCATGCCTGCCCAGAAAATTTCAGCTCCCAGGAGCCCCAGCTCCGATTTCTGCCTCCTTTGTCCAGGGAAAGAGCCGCTGTGTCTGTGCCCACTTGTCAGTGGAAAGTGCCCTGAGCTGAGGGCCCGGGTGTGACCATGGTGCCCACCCCGAGCCCACAGCCTGCAGACAGCTCCCACCTACGCTTGGCCGTGTCTGTGGCTGTTCACGCTGAGATGACAGGCCAATGGCCCTACCTCCATGCCTAAAACTACCTCCAAATCCAAATTCAACAGGACAGGTTACACTTGTTTGTATCTGTATCTATTTTCTTGTATATGGAGTGTTAGGATCTGACTCACGCTAGTATACTTATTTATCCTGTAACATATTTAAAATAGTTTGAAAATGTTAATACCAACGTTGGCACGAATAAAACCAGCGAGTGACGTGCAAGATCTTTCTTCTAGGAGTTATTTTACAAAGGCCACAATCAGACCTCTGTTTCCTATGACACTTAAATAATTCTTTCCTTTGTGTGGTTGTTGTACTAATTTGAAATATAGCTAGTCATTTGTTTCAGTCCGTTTGGAATTGTAAATTAAAAACGTTTAGAAAACCGAACTACGCAAACAGATGTATTCAGAGAAGTAGCCCTCCACCTTCCCCCTCAGGCCCCACAGGAGACCATTTATGCAGGTTAACGCTTCCCGTGTTTCTCTTTGCAGGAATGAAGGACAGAGGTATCTGTTCTTGCTTATCACTTTCTATACGTGTCCACATCATCACTTACTCTGGACAGCACACTGCATGTTTGGAGCCTGTCCACGCTAATTTCTGGGAGCCGT